ACATAACAGTTAGACGTGAAGACATGACACAACTAACAACACTTTCAAACAATCATCATTCGCGGCGATACTACACTTTTAAAACGGAAGGAAGGTGTGAAACGGTTGGGACTTTTAAAATAGTAAATCTTATCTTAACTCTGATGGAAGATGGTTGCGCAACTTCGTGGATTGGTTGAGGTTAGACATTAACACCATTTAATGCCGGCTCAGTGGTCCAGTAGGTTAAGCGTTCGCGCGCGAGACTGAAGGCCCTGGGTTCTAATCCCGCGAGCGAAATAGTAGATGCGCACCGCTGAGAAGTCCCAAAATAGGACGAAACGGCCGTCCAGTGCTTCCAGGTTTTGGATGATGGTCTAACATCAATCGGTTCATGATCTCAATCAAAGCAAATATATATATAGTGAACGACGAAGTCAAGTGGAGAAGAACAATTTGTTCACTACAAAATTACAGAATGTCTTGATAAAATATGATAACCATACATTGAATACTTCATTTACATTTCTCCTATCAGTTATCCTTTACACACTTCATAATTCTTTCAATTCTGTTATTTTTAAAATGGTTCACTGCTTCCCCTTCTATCCTCTTTAATTCATTCTTCTGCTGATAGGCATTTCACATTACTTATATTTGTCAATATAAGTAACATACATAACAGTTAGACGTGAAGACATGACACAACTAACAACACTTTCAAACAATCATCATTCGCGGCGATACTACACTTTTAAAACGGAAGGAAGGTGTGAAACGGTTGGGACTTTTAAAATAGTAAATCTTATCTTAACTCTGATAGTTTCCTTTGACAGTAGTAATGCCTGAAAACTATGGAGCTAGTATAATATGAACCACAAAGAAAAATATCTCATCTACTCGTCTATATATGGCACTTGAAGGAAATGATGCTCCGTGGTAGATTCGATCTAATGACTTACAGGAGATTAGTTACATTTTGAATGCTTTTGTAGTAACGTACAAGGTTATGAGGCTGAGTGATATAGAACTGAAACCGCCCATTTTGGGAAAGCCGCTATAGTAAATTTTGGGGAAATTTTAGGGAAATCCCCAAAATTGGGAGCTTAGGTATATACAGATTGAAATCTGTTTGTAGTCAATAGTAAGTAATCTTAATTGATTTTGTCAACTGTTAAATTATTTCATTAAAATTAAAATGTAATTGTTTGTTATTGTTGTGGGTCTAATGTGTTGCATGAAATTTGACCAACTGACCTTAGAATATTGTTTTGATTGATTATCGTGTATTCATGTATCGTATATGATTAATGACAGATGTAAACAATTGGTGAATAAATCTCTTTTTTTTTCTTCTAAAGAAAGAAACGATATTTTTGAATTATCTATGATCATCTAGGGGATAGTTGATAATGAAATGAATTCACCGCACTTGAAGGAAATGATGCTTCCTGGTACATTCGATCTAATGACTTACAGGCGATTAGTTACATCTTGAATGATTCTGATGTAACGTACAAGTTTATGAGGCTGAGTGATATGGGACTGAAACCGCTTAAGAACGTCAACTGCCTTAAGATTCCAGGTATACTTTGTTGAAGAGTGTTAAGAAGTACGAAACCCACGTAAAATAGGGTTTCCTGTTGACTACCTTCAACATAGTACACATGATGTCGTAACCAAGACTAATGACCACAGTACAGTTTGACTGGTAAAATTTGATCGGTACTACGAAGTTCTTGACATACACAAGATTAATCACTTATCGACAATCAGTCAATTGTACATAAGTCCGCCGTTTGACTACAATAACTTGAAGATCGCATCCTTTATTTAGGATAGTATTTTGGTGTGGTTATGTTAGAGATTTATTGATTAGTTCTAGTCACTTACCTTGTTTAGGATCAGATCATGATAAAGTTGCCAAGTTAAAAATATATTACTGTTTTAACTTCCTAATGTGATTTATGTTAAAACTAACAGACTAATTTTGTTAATTGAAGAGATCAGTGTCAGGAGGGGTTTTGTGGAGATTGTAGTAATTGCTTAAATTGAGATAATGAGTCAATTGAAACCAGAACACCATGGAAAACCTGGAAGCACTTGACGGCCGTCTCGTCCTAGTATGGGACTCCTCAGCATTGAGCATCCACGATCCCGCCACCCGAGATTCGAACATAGGACCTATCAGTCTCGCGCGTGAGCACTTAACCTCTAGACCACTAGGCCGGCCGAAATCCAACTGTCTAACTTCAACTAATCCACGAAACTGAGCGACACATCCACCATTGTCATCAGTGAGTTACTATCACACAACAGACCCGGTTGAATTGCAGAGATAACTAGACACATGACAAAAATCACTTTACTTAAATGTCAATCACACTGAGTTACTTTGATTTTAGGAGACTATCTCATTCATTTAAATCATGATCACGATTAAAAACCTGGAACAACTGGACGGTCAATTTATCCTAGTATGGAATTCCTCGAAAGTGCGGATCCAATACCACACCATCAGGACTCAAACCTGACACAGAATGGACTCCAATGGTAACGATTGATAAAAGTATAATGTATAAATTTTCTAAATTTAAAGTAAAAAAAGTTAACATATCAAAATAGACGATTTGTAAAGTGTAAAACTTACTAATTTGTTCATTTGTATATGGTACAATAGTACTACTACTACTATTAGTAGTAGTAATAGTAGTAGTAGTAGCTGTAATGATATTACAATTATTTTGACCATTTCCATTTAATCCTAATGTACTCCATGATGATGATGACGATGATAATGTTGATGAATTCGATGGAGATAAACCATTCAAATGTGTATTGGATAAGACCGATAAAGCATTCATATGACTATTAGATTGTATAGAATTCATATTAGATTGATTTATAATAGTATTATGTAATCCTTTATGATCCATAGTCGGACTTTGTGGTAAGTTGGATGGATGTCCAGGAGGAAGACTATTATTGTTATTGTTACTATGATAGATAGAGTTGTGTTGTATTGATGATGTAGGACAATCTATATCACTTTGTGAATGTATTGATAGTGTTGATGATGATGTGGTCTTTTTACGGAATGCTTTACCAAGTGAATTACGAAACTAATTTTGTGATAAAAAAAGGAAGTAATATTAGGTAAATAGAAGCAATAAATGTGATCAATTCGAAATCAAAGCATTACTGATACAGAGAAAGAACAGAGTAGTAGTCATAGTGAATATGAAGATGGAATATATTAGTGATCCAACATTAGTCTATTGAGCAACGTAGGTTATGAAATTGTGGCTTTAATAGTATACGGTAATTTCATTAAAATCATGAAGTGATATTAGTTAGACCATTACTGAAAACCTGGAAGCACTGAATGGTTAATCGGCCTCCAAATGCCGTGGTATAGCCGAGAGTGGGGAGAGTCAGCTCTCCCTCCCTTGACAACCAGAGCAACTATTAATTTAGGTACATGGAATGCTCGTACAATGTGGGAGACCGGGAGAGTCTTCCAAATTGCTGCAGAAATAAGGAGATATATTGGACGCAGGTTGGAGAACAACGAATAGCTTCAGGGGAGCTTTATAAGACAAGCCCTTATATGGAATTCTCAAGGCCGAAAGAAAAGAGGAAGATCACGGAACACATTACGCCGAGAAATCGAAACAGACATGAGAAAAATGAACAAACATTGGATAGAACTAGAAAGGAAGGCCCAGGAAATTGTGGGTTGGAGAATGTTGGTCGGCGGCCTATACTCCATTGGGAGTAACAGGTGTAAGTAAGTAAGTAATCATATATACCGTCATGGTTTTACTCTTGTAATTTGTTGCATGGTAAGAACCGTCTACCAAGAATCGAAGTTCGAATTTCAGTGTAAACAATGAAACTAAATTATTTCATTCGCTCTCACTCTCTCTCTACATCCACCCACCCATCCACACACACACACAAATATATATAAGCACCTATTTAGAAGAATGCGTTTTCCTGCCTAAATTACAGTAATCAACTACTGAATAGCAATTTTTCTAAGGTATTAATCATTTTACCATCAAGTATGTACAATTAATAATCATACTAATGCAATAATAATAATAATGATAATGTGTCTGTTGAAGGGAAGCCTAATGGAATACAAGAGTGTGTTTCACTTTTAGAATTCCAATGAATTTCATAATACATACAACTAAGCTACCCAATAACATTTATATACACACATATGCTTAAGCATAAATAGTTCACAATAGAAGAGAGAAATGAATGAAACAAGAAGAGAAAAAGAAAACAAGAAAAGAAAAGAAACGAAAAGAAAACCTAAATGAAACAGGTGAAACTATGATTAGGATTATTCATAGTTGGTTGGCCTATTTATTGATTCAAAGGGATGATTAATTAATCAACAATGTTTGACCAATTAATCTAGATAAGGTCAACTAACAAATACATTTATGATAATAATAATAATAATAATAATAAGGGTTTAACGGAAGGTGTTTTATGAACATTTATTCAATATTCACTTGATATTGTTTTACTTGAATCTTCCCATTGATGTTTTTGGACTGAAATTGATCAGTCTCTTATTGGTATATGTGCATACTGTGCGTATGCCTCGATATTGCCTTAATTTACAAGCATTATAAGCAAAGATGGATAGTGGCTAGCAGTGGAATCCAGGATGCGCGTTTCGTCCTGTTTGGGACTCGTCAGCTGGATGTACCTGCATCTCAGAGTTGATGTTCACTCTGGGACTCGAACTCAGTACCGTTCGCTTCAAACGCCATCGCGTTATCCACTCAGCTACTGAGTCCTGATAGCCACTTGCTTGTGCAATGGGTTGAAGTTGAATTCACTTGATATTGTTTTACTTGAATCTTCCCATTGATGTTTTTGGACTGAAATTGATCAGTCTCTTATTGGTATATGTGCATACTGTGCGTATGCCTCGATATTGCCTTAATTTACAAGCATTATAAGCAAAGATGGATAGTGGCTAGCAGTGGAATCCAGGATGCGCGTTTCGTCCTGTTTGGGACTCGTCAGCTGGATGTACCTGTAACTCAGAATTGACGTTCGCTCTGGACTCAGTAGCTAACTGGATAACGCGATGGCGTTTGAAGCGAACGGTACTGAGTTCGGGTCCCAGAGTGAACATCAACTCTGAGATGCAGGTACATCCAGCTGACGAGTCCCAAACAGGACGAAACGCGCGTCCTGGATTCCACTGCTAGCCACTATCCATCTTTGCTTATTTATTCAATATGTAGATTGTATTTATCATAGATTGATTTCGTTGATTGGAAACCATTAGTAACAGTTTACGATGAGAGAGGACAAACCAACCTCCAGCTAAGGAGTAAATCAGGAAAAGACATTGGAAGTGGATATGATATGACATTATGGAAATCATCAAAATGCATCAAGAAGTTAGCCCTAACTTGGATTTCTGGAGGGAAATGGAAAAGCGGAAGGTCGAAGAACACACCACGTCGGGAATTGGAAGTAGACATGAAAAGTAGTAATAGCAACTTGAAAGAACTGGAAAAGATTGTTCAGGATAAAAAGTAAGTGTAAGTTTTCAGTTGAGTTATCGTTGAAAGTTGGGGTGAATCACTAGATAGCTGTTTCCTTCTAATTTGGAACTCTTCAAGGAGTGATCATTGAGGGCGATAGAATAAAAGACCTCGAAGACTCGATGCTAGTAAGTGATGTGTTACTTTTAATTTGACAATTTTCACAATTCCTTATGTAAAAACATTACATGTGATTATAGGTGACTAACTTCTAGAAGTAATTCCTGAAGTTCTATTGCGAAGATAGGACCAATGGAGTTTAGCCACACTAAGCATTAGATGGATATCAACAACAACGAACGATGATCGAATGCTATCTGAGCGATCTAAAAGTCAGGTGCTTATCACAAAGCCTGAAAATCCTGAGTCCAACCCCTAGATGGTACTGTAGACACACACTAGTGAGGAGTTTCATACTAGGAGGAAACATATTTAGTAGTTCGTAGTTTTTAACAGTTATCAAAATACAGTTAGTCCACGATCCCTTGGTAGATTACATATAAGGACGAAAACCTTGACTAGTGCTTCAACAGTTTTATTGAGTTAAATATATAATGTAAAGTAACGAAAGTATCAATTCATTTAGTATTGTTTATTTGAATCTTCCGATTGATGTTTAGGACTGCAATTGATCAGTCTCTATCTTATTGGCATATGTGCATTCCGTGCGGATTGGCTCAATATTACCATTAAGTTATAAGCATTAGGTTCGAGTCCTAATGTAATCAACAATATTAGGATATGACAGGTACATCCAGCTGTTATGATTACCGAGTAGGATGAAATAAGCGTTTAGATGGTGATTGGAGGGAACCCTGGACCCGGTTTTTGTGCTACTTAGCACTCATCTCCAAGGTATACCTGTAATCTTGAGGAAACTAGTGCCCCTTGACATATTCGATCCGGTGTCACCCAGACTCACAGTCAGAGAAGTTACCACTAGGCTATCCGGGCCGTGACCGGCCTCCTGTAACACTGTGATGTAATCACAATTGATTGATCACTAGGTGGTGATCAATTTCATGTGTATCAAGTATTTCTTAGTTGAGATCGAATGCTATCGACTAAGTTTCAATGTGGCCACTAGTCTAAGTGACTCGACACTGCGTACACTATATTGAGATTAGATGGTGGCTGAAGGTAGTCGACAGGAACAGACAAGTGGCCACATTTTAACTTGGTCGGTAGCATTTGATCTGCACTAAGAAGGACTTGAAACACCTGATATTGATCACCATTCAGTGATCAATCAATTGTGATGAAATAAGCGCCCTAGATTCTACCATTAATCACAAGTGAACTAAAGAAAAACACTATAGTTCGTAAGTTTAGACAGTTTCATTAACAACTGTACACAAGACAAACTATCTAGAATATAAATTTACTTGATATTGTTTGACTTGTATCTTCCTAAAAAGCTTGTGAACTAAGGTAATATCGAGGCATACGCACAGTATGCACATATGCCAATAACAGACTGATCAATTGCAGTCTTAAACCCCAATGGGACGATACAAACGAAACAATACATAGTGAATTTTAATTCACCTCGTTGCACAAGCAAATGGCTATCAGGACTCAGTAGCTGAGTTGATAACGCGATGGCGTTTAAAGCGAATGGCACTGGGGTCGAGTCCCAGAGAGAACATCAACTCTGAGATGCAGGTACATCCAGTTGACGAGTCCCAAGTAGGACGAGACGCGCGTCCTGGATTCCACTGCTAGCCACTATCCATTATTGCTTAAAAAATATCTAGAATATGTATACCAAAATTTCTTACCCATCCATTTTTCTTCACATTAGTTCCTGAAGATTTACAACCGGATGTGGTAGATGATACTTTATCAATTGAATTATCCATTTGTAATTGTTGACTATCTACATCAGTAAGACTTGCATTTGAAATTGTTAAACGTGAATTAATATGTGCTTGTTCATTCTCACTATTACTACCAGTATTGGAAGTAGTATTAGTAGTAATAATATTAGTGGTAGAAGTAGTAGTAGTAGAAATGCATGAGTTTTCTTGTTGTTTCAATGTATCATTAGTAAATGATCTATTCAATTCACAAGGTCGATTAATTGGCGGTTTTTTTAATAGTCCTAATTCTGTTTGACTACGTAATGCATCAATTGTTGCTCTTAATTCATGTAGTTCTGAATCCTTTCGAAGAAAAAAATGCCAAAAAAATTATATATTTATATATACTAAATTACAGTAATTGTATAACTTGATACAATAGTGAATTAATTCAAGTTACTTTATATTACAATATCGGGATCCCATTCAAACGTCTTCCTAACGTACATATACCGTCATCGATGCTATGGACTTGGATTACTTACTTACTTACCTACGCCTGTTACTACCAATGGAGTATAGGCCCCCGACCAGCATTCTCCAACTCACTCTGTCCTGGGCCTTCCTGTCCAGTCCTGTCCAATTGCCTATGATTGGCTTTCATTGATTAGTTGTGTATGATAATCATATGAACTAGCGCACTTTCATTAATTGTTTACAAACTATTGAAAAATTAATATCTTTTTGTATTGGTTGTTTGAATCTTTCCATTGATCAGTCTCTCTTATTGGTATATGTTCATCATAAGTGGATTGCGTCGATATTGCCGTAAATCACAATCGTTATAAGCGTAGAGATGGATGGTGGCTAACAGTGGAATCTATTACAGACGTTTCGTTTAATTTCAAACTCGTCAGCTGGATGTGCCTGCATCCCAGCGTTGATATTCAATCAAGGACTCTAACACTGTACCGTTTACTTTAAACCCCATCACGTTATTCCGTTAGCTACTGAGTCCAGATAGCCATTAGATTGTGCCAATGGATAAATTATAATTCATTCGTATTACTTAAAGCACTGGATGGTCGGTTCGTCCTAGTGTAGTGAATGAGAACACCAATGGGGACAACCGAATGTATTGTGATACAAAATTACAGAATCTCATAGTAAAATCTGAGACTCATACAGTAAATTCTTCATTTGCAAAATATCAATTGTCTAAAACTTTGTTATTCCTTTGCTTCTACACGAGTCACTCTCTTCTCGTTCTCTTTTCTTCAATCTTCTTAACTTTCTACCGCCAGACATTTTACTTTAAGTTGATGATACATACTACTTATATCTGTCGACATCAGCAGAACATACCACACTAGTATGGGACTCCTCAGCAGTGCACATCCACAATCCTACACGCGGGATCCTCATTCTGTTTAGTTTTTTATGTTATTGTATTCCAATATCAAAGTCATTAGTAGATAAACCGTTTTTGAATACTAAACTTTTCCTGAATTCCTGTTTTTTTCTTCTCTTGATTGTTTGGAAGATTATGACTATGCGGTAATTATTTGCCGGACACTGTCGAGCATAAAGAACCTATTCTATAATCGGAAGCTATCTTTAATATAGAACAGCATCAAATTAGAATGAAAAAGTAGGGATTGAATTCATTCTAATTTTGTTTTAATGAACTGCCAACTGACAACAATTTCATCTTCAAGTGTAAATGATCTTTACATTCAGATAAACATTAGTTGTTGAATAGTAGATGAATAAGGATGATGGTGATGATGTTGATATCCCTGACAATAGCTGCATGTTTAACACGATAATCTGGCTTGCCTATTGTGATGACGGAATCAAGCTATCATGGTCAGAATATCTATTTCTTCAGGTCCTACCATACTAGCTAGGTCAGCTGAAGAATAATAAGACTGAAGGCTGCAACTTGAAGTCTTAGGGAAAAGTCATACCTCTATCTGTATGGAGGTGTAATGCTAGTAAGGCATTACTCCCAGACAATTATAATTTGCAGTCATGCTGACTTCCAACAAGAAGAGTAATTGGTTATAAAGATCGAGAATAAAACTATCACACTTTACCTTATCCTATAGGCTTTTGTTTTCTGGAGTAAGGCACTTAACGTACAGCGTTAACACATCAAGATCTGTCCACAAAAAGTCATTCATAAGTGACTTCAAATAAATGTTCCTTGAGGTCTACAGTTACATTCCTAAATTGACATGACCATCTTCAACCTAGTTTCTTCTTCAGGTCTCTCAAGAAGCAGCCTCCTTCCTCACTGTGTCCAACTGGGAAGTGACAGCTCCTCTCATGCATTTTAAATTACTCGAGATGTTCATAACAATGGGATAAATGAAAAATATATAGAGTGACACTGATCGAAAAAACAACAGGTCCGCTGGATTAAATCGATTATTTATAGGAGTTTGTATTATTTAATCAGTCTACCTATTGAGAACTGAAACTAACCAATCTCTATTGTCATCTTGAGTGAATTACTTCAATATCATAGTTTGACTACATGATTATTTTTAGTTAGATTGAATTTCAGCTAACAACGCAATTCAAGAGGCCACATTTTACCGTATAAAAGACTTGTTAGGTACATCTAGATGTGACAAGTAACAATTAGGAAGAAATACATATATATTGTGTACTCTACTCTTAGTAACAATTTAATGTTACTAAACCAGCTATTCACTATGTGTTATTTACTTGTATCTCCCCATTGTTATTTAGGACTGTAATTGATCAATCTCTCCTATTGACATATGTGCATCCTGTGCAGACTGCCTCGATATAGACTTAAGTCACAAGCATTATAAACAAAGATGGATAGTGGCTAGCAGTGGAATCCAAGACGTATACTTCGTCCTATTCAACTTTGAGATGCAAGTACATCCAGCTGACGAGTCCCAAATAGGAAGAAACGCGCGTCCTAGATTCCACTGTTAGCCACTACCCATCATTGCTTATAAACTAACTATGTTTAGAATCTGCTTTTTCTATAACAACTTACCGGTTCACATTCAAGTAGAGATCATATCCGGTTAATCAATCAATCAGTTTATTACAAACTCATTCATTCATTCGTACACATAAAGTTTTTACAAGAATCCAAATTAATCAGTTTACATCGTAAGGATTTATCAGTCAAAAGAATCACCATGAAATTGCATCACTTACTTTCCTTGTTGTGGTATTTGATAAATTCTGTAGCCGTTGTGACATATTGTTTAAACTTTGTTCAAAAGCTGAGACAACATGAGCCTAGAATAGAATGGAATAATCATTTAAATAAATAAATTGATGCTTTAATTGAATCACACTTAAGTTGATAGTTGTCAACGGAGTTGAAGTGAAGATACACAAAGAGATGAAGGACAGTGATAGGAAGAAATATGATGTCATAGGTAATAAATTCACAATGTATGGCTGAAGCTTATTGATTGATACATATCAGTTTCATGCTTCTCTATTGGTTTTAATAATAAAAGGATGATCATTAATCGCATAAACGTTTTTCGGTCTCTATGATTGATTACATTGGCTACCCTATAAGCTCTACTCATATACACATGACTTATTCAGGAATAACAGTCGTTAATAATTAAAACAAAAGACGTACTTCATATTCTCAAATCCCCATATATTTGATGTATAGCTAGCATTGAGTATAGAAGCAAAAGATATTGGGTTGAAGTGTCAGTGCGAACATCAACAATGAGATGTAGCAACAGGTACATTCAGTCGATAAGTCCCGAATAGGAAGAGATGAGGATCCTGTAATACACTGCTAGACACTTACGAGCTCCAAAAAAACTTGTAATGTAATGCGATATTAAGTCAGTCTAATCATACCTAAACAGAAAATTACACACCTTTACTAATGCACTTTTTTATTCTTAATTGAAAAATGAATATAGAACAGAACATGTCAAAGTTTGATCGACTTAAAATGGAATGATAAAAGTTATCAGTTAAATTATTTGTAGACAAATAGACTATTCACTTGGTGTTGTTTCACTTGTTTATTTCCATTGTTATTTAAGACTGTATTTCGATCAGTCTCTTGTTGGCATATGTAAATCCTGTGCGTATTGCCTCGATATAGCCTTAAGTCACAAGCATTATAAACAAAGATGGATAGTGGTTAGCGGTGGAATGCAGGACGCGTGTTTCATTCTATTTCGAAATCGTCAGCTGGATGTATCTGCATCCGAGAGTTGCACATATGCCAACAAAAGACTGATCAGTTGCAGTACTAAATAACAATGGGAAGATACAAGTAAAACAACAACAAGTGAATTTAAATTTCAACCCATGACAAGCAGATGGTTACCAGGATTCAGTAGCTAAGTGGATAACGCGATAGCGCTTGAAGCGAACGGTACTGGGTTGTAGTCCCGGAGCGAACATCAACTCTAGAATGCAGGTACGTCCAGCTGACGAGTCCCACATAGGACGAAACGCGCTAGCCATTATCCACTTTTGCTTACAAATAGATAATGTTAATTCGAATGAAAAAATCAAGTAGATTGTTGTCTTTTTCTTTCAAATGAGATACATATTCATTAAGTGAATTTCTTCTAACATTTCTTAAAAAAGTATGAAGATTATATATATTTATATATCAGTTTAGGGCTATGGAGATTGTTGAGTCCCATTGAAACCATGAACCGATCAATGTTAGATCAGTATTGAAAACCTGGAATCGCTAGATAGTCGTTTCATCATAGCACGCAATCTCCTCACCAAAGGGAATATAAAACCATGATCTTTAAGTCCAGCACGCGAACGCTTAACTTTTAGACAACTCATCCGGCATGTATTGGTTTTTATGTCTAACTTCAATTAATGCATCATCTTGCACAACCCTTAATCTATTGTCTGAGGTGTATATCTATCTTATATCCGACTTCTCATTAGAACCCAAGGAGTTACATCTCAGAGCTAGTCATCAGTGAATATATGATAATTATCAGTATAAGGTTGTAAGGATTGTTGAGTTTCACTGAAACCATGAATCCATCTCTCTCTCTATGTACATATATAATGTACTCTCTTGTTCTGTTGTGTTGTCTATACTTTCACTATTTCTTTCTATCCAATACACACTGAATACCTCTCTCTCATTCTCTCCTTCACTTTCATACTTCTTTCGTGTATCATTTCTTTTAGCTTACTTCAAATGTCTGCTTTTTAATTATGTCTTTGGAAAAATGTAGGAAAAGGAAGAACTTTTTCACGTCACTGCAAGTCTTTTTCATTGAAAAAAAAAAGAGAAAAGAAGAAAAGAAAAAAGAAAACTGTCACTGTATAGTTGAATGTGTATTTCAATGGTTAAGTTTAATTAAATAACATTTGTTTAATACAATAAGGTTAGTGTTGCATTTTTAGGGGAGACAAATGTTCATCTTTAGCGGGTTTTTTCTTAGACACATGGAATCTTCAAGGCCAAACGAGAAGAGGATGACCAAAGAAGTACACATTACGCCGAGAAATGAAGATAGACATGAGAAAAATGAATAACAATTGGATAGAACTAGAAAAGAAGGCCCAGGACAGAGTAGGGTGGTGAATGGTGGTTGGCGGCCTATGCCCCGTTGGGAGTAACAGACTTAAGTAAGTAATGTTCATCTTGTATATATAAGTAAGCTATAGATTGTATTCACCATTGATCGATCTTACTTAAGGTATCATTTTGAATGTTAGTAAGAAACGGACAGATATTTTGCACTAGAATAAGGCCTTTCTCCATTGATTAGCTACCATATGACCAGAGAAAAACCATAAGGCAGTAAGGTCTTGTGGAGAGCGCCTCATCATTACAAACAATGTGTCAGTCTCTAATGGTATAATTCCAATGTCAGTCAGTTTATGGTATAGTGCCATGACTATTCAATTCCAACGGTGACAAATATTTTACTCGCAATATATTTGAACTCCATCAGATAGAATTTCTTACTTTAACTTTAAAAACATATCAAAATATAGGTTAATAACCGGTTGACTGGTATAATTGACCAGTATAGGATTTAAAGATCTAGAGATTAAGCATTCACACACGAAACTGAATGTCCTGAGTTTGTTTTCTGCATACAGAATTATGAATGCTCATTGCAGAGAAGTTACGTGCTAGGAAAAAGCGGTTGATTTGCAATATACTGATCTTTTTCTTTGAGATCTCGTCAATTATTCACTGACACATAACATTAAGGCATGATTATCAAACGTACTGATTCCCAGCTATATCGATCTCAACAACATCAAATTGACCTTAATCATCCACTTCTTAAAACAATCTACAATAAATCTGTCATTTAAGAAAACGTAGTTCCGTAATTTTTTTTCGATTATCCTGAGAACATCAAACATAAGGCGAGGCTCATTGTTATCGGTCAATTCCGTAATGGCTTAAGGATAATGAACCTTTTGTCATTTTAATGACTGTGCGTTGTTCAAAATAATATCAGATACATACTGGGAAACATTTGAATAAATATGTCTGCTGAATATAAACTTGGCGCTATATGTGTATATCACATCCCATGTTAAGATGACCAGTAAGGCAATGAATAGGAGTAAAGGTAATGAGAAATGATGGTTGAACATTTAAAGTACCGTTTATTCAACTGATTACATACCACACGGTTGGAAGAGATGAAGTGAAGAGTGGTAAAAGAAAAAGAATGTGTTTGACATACGATTTCGTTTTAGTTTAGCGATGTTAACATATTGGTCATTATTATTAGAATGGGGATTTGTGGAGATTGAAGTGATTTTAATAGTTAAATTCATGAGTCTATCTAAGCTAGGCCACCATTCAAAACCTGGAAGCACCGGATGGTCGTTTCATTCTGGTATGTTGAATGTTGACTCAATGTTCTACAAGTCAAGCGTTCACGCATGAGACCGAATGTCCTGGGTTCAAGTCACACATGTAGGATCGCGGATGCCTACTGCTGATGAGTCACATACTAGGACGAAACGGACGTCCAGTGCTCTCAGGTTGGCAGTTTCGTTCTACTGTGAGACTCCTCAGCAGTGCGCATCCACGATCCCGCCTCGCTAGAATCGAACCCATTACCTTTTTTTATACAATAATTGAACGGATTTTAACTACGACTAACTATGGCTCAAAATAATAGTCAATTAAAAGATGAAGATTATCAGAACTATGTGATAATTATTAGAGCAATACATTTTCAACAATCTGGTCACACATAATACACTTGTTAAGAATATTTATATATCAAAAACAAAAGGTCAACTGGACTAGAAATGAGGGGATGGGGTTAATAAGAAACAAGGATAATAAAGGAAATAATAATGTGAAACCAATTTGAAACCACATCACTCTGGATAATCAACAGTATGCATCTACAACCCTGCGTGCTGAGGAGTCCCATACTAGGACGAAACAGCTATCTAGTCCTTCCAGGTTTTAAATGGTGATCTAGTCTAAATCGGTTCATGAATTTAACTAATAAAAATTAATTATTTATTACATATTGGGGACTAGGCTTGATCAACATAGAATCTGATACATATGCATGTTTGCCCTAATTCCCATATTCTATTGAAATGATATGATCAAATTAACTAGATAAATGATAAAAAGAGTAAAAGTATTCATAGTGGGAAGGAATGAACATTGAGAATATAGTTTAAGAGAAATGAATAGAAAGGTATATATGAAAGAATTCTGAAATTCAAGATCTAAAAGAAGATAAAAAATAATGAATAGATTTGTTCCATTTTAATTAGTTCCAATCCACATCATCTAACATCTCTAATCGTTAATCAAGACTTGTCTGATGACTTCAATCAGATGGGTTAGGTTATTCAATATGGTTCAGATCAAGTGTCAATGACTTTGTGTACTAATATCACATATTAATTTGACTGTTCCCTATGTCTATTATTAAAATTAAACCCGTTTATTATTATAAAGAGAAGTCGAATGATTAGGAAAATATTTGTGTTATAACTTGTTCCCCTGTGTCCTATTAATTTATAATGTAGTGTTACCGCCAATTAGAGAACAGTGAATTATCGACCGAATCAATGACGCATAAAACCTGTATGAGCAGTCTAGAGTATTTATTGTTCCTGCTTCTTGCCTAGCCCTGACTGTTGAGTCCAGAATACCAATCTCAGCCTTCGTGATATCAGTCATGCATTTCAAACATACTGGGTTTATATACAAACCAAACAGACCACATTGTACCATAAAATGGAAAAGAGCATTTGTACAAGATTTAGCCAAAAAAGGCTGTAAATATGGGAGATTGTAATTGATAGACTAGGCAATCCAACTGCTAGTTAACTTAGCTGAGATGAGAAAATAACAACCGATTTTCCGGTTTTCCGAAGGAGCAATTAAAAGACTAGAGTGTTATAGAACAACTTGGCCAATAAGTAACACAATACCATTAATTGTAATTGTAGAGATTTCTTCTAAATTATTTACGACAGTCAGTCATATGACTTGCTCTTTAAATTATTAAGTGTACTAAATAATTAGAGGAGGTGAAATGTTAAGGGATTCACGATATTATTTGACAATCTTCCATTGACTGTGACGGATCATTGTATTACATACTAGACATGGTTAAACTCCCAAATACTCCGGTACGGCCAAAGGTGGGAAGAGTCAGCTCTCCCTCTCGAAATTCTCTCACATGGCCACGCGTATACAGCCACTGCCAGGAAAGTCCTACTCTTTACCTTCTCGTGGCAGGGGTGTTATTTACAAAATTGAGAGAACGAAAAGCGAATGTCCGGTGATTTAACCGGTTTAGTGGCTATAGAGTATCCACTTAGGGGAGTTGGAAAACCTTCATTCCAAACCAATGGTGCACTTGGGTTCCAGAATCCTGATGGAACAAATGGCGTGTGAACTAGTTATCGGTCACTGTCTACCATGGGATCGTATCTCCTGACGTTGCTCTACTACCATGTGGATTAGACCTTTAGGTCGAAGATTCCGGATGTAGCCACCTGAGAAAACCACCTGTTTTGGTCTGGGTACCTGAGCAGTAACACAGCCTACACATAGATGAAATAAGATTGTGTGTTGCATATGTATTTGGTGTCCCCTTGTACCAATACTTATGTGTTCAAATAAAAATAAATAAATAAACTTCACTGGTCACAGCCTCTCATTAGAACTCCAGGAATTACATTTAGAAGTCAATCACAAATAAATATACTTCGTGTATTCATTTCACGTCAAAACCATCAGCAATCAAAGTGTTTTCTTACTCTATCCAGTCAAACGGAAAAGTCTTTATCCAGGAAACTTAAACGGGCCACACATTTCTCTCTTTGTGATATGTAACCGTGTTATGGATATGAATTCAACTGATGAAATCATTCTTTAATCCATCTTTTGATAGAAAGTGTTCAGTTAATTTTTTAGTATCGGTAAGATTGACATTTCTATTCAGTTATATTACTGTATATTCATTTTCATCATGGATTAACATTAACTAGAGAAGACGAAACCCAGAGTATAGTAAGTCACTGTTTCATACTCATTTCAAATTTTTGCAACATCGTATACTACTGATAATGTCTGATAATTGAATTCAGTAATCTATAAAAAACTCTCTGTTTCGATAATGATATTATTTAGCCTACATTATTTGATGACATTGAAAGTGGATAGAATATACATTGAAGAAATCATTAAACTGAATCATGAGGCTAACCCTAACTTGGAATCCTGAATGGTAACAGAAAACAGGAAGGGCAAAGAACACATTATGTCGGGAAATAGAAGCAAGTATGAAAAGGATGAATAACAGTTGGAAAGAGTTGGGAAGGATTATCTAGGACAGAGTTGGATGGAGATTGCTAGTGGGTGACCTATGCTCCTCCGTGAGAGGTTAATTCTTAGTACTCGTATTTAAATTCCATTAATCAGTGTTTGGCAAATCTCTCAAACTAACTGTCAAACATCAAACCGCTAGGTGTAATGTAATCGTGAATCACTTAAACTAATAGCTACATTGTAGATGAATGATAGATTATCATATTTTATCGAACAGTAAGAGTAGTACTAAGGATACATAGTATAGTATAGTATAGATCATAAACAGACCCTTCGACTATTGACTGGTTTTTGACGCCTTATATTTGATAACATTGGTAAATCCCTATTGTTATTCATATGTAGATCAGTAATTATTGATGGATATGTTGAACAAATACCATTTTGTTCATGTGCATTTGAATGAGTTTTAGACAATTGAGAAGATCTTGTCAACATTTGTGGAATTGTAGTATACTGTTGTTGTTGTTGCTGTTTTAATCTGATCATTTCATTTTCCAATTCATTATTATCATTATGATGCTGATAAGTAATTCCATATTGAGTATAACGTCTTCTTTCTATTGGTCGAATTCTATTCTTATGTAGTGTATTCGATTGAATTGGGGAAGTTATACTATTGAATGTTACATTACCAATAGGCAATGTAGTTGTTGTTTTCGTTGGTAATAATGATGATGATGATGTCTTTGTAAAAGAATCGGATCGTTGAAAAGCTGATGAATATTGATGTTGACATTCACTGAAAGGTACTTGATAATAACAATATTGTAATGAATTATTATTGATCTCTGTGACTGAACATTCCCTAGTAGTAACTAGATGATTCTCAATTGAATAGGTTTGATTCGGTTGATTAATTGATTTAAATTGATCTAATGATTGTAAACTGATAGCAGATTGTATACTTAAATTACTACTTATTGAATATACAGGAGTTGAATAGGTACTTCGGTGATTATTGATTAATTGATCATTCTCTATTTGTTTATGATGTTCACAAGATTGTTTATATTGTTGATGAAGAGAATAATCTTCATCTTTCATAAGATATGATCTGTCTTGAATCATTTGATCATGATTTCTATTCATTAGAATTGAAGTCATTGGATGATTGAATTTTTCATTTGTTATTGATTGTATAGGTTGATGAACTATTCTTCGACTTCTTAATGGTGACAATGTACTATTATTATTATTATTACAGGCTATAGTTGACATCTTTGAATGATCTCTTCTTTGATGTTTTATTGAATTGTTAAATGAAACTGTTGACAAGTCAGATAATATTGGTTGAGGGAATGTTGTTAATGTAGAATTTCTTGTCAATAGATGGCTATCAGTAAACAGTCGTGGTGAAGATGGAGGTGTTGAATTCGGTGATTGATTATTGATATTATTATTTCTATGAATGAATTGATCATTAGTATTACATAATAATAATAATGATGAATTACGATTGAATGGATTAGAACTTACACTACGTCGACGAATCATTAATCCGGTATTGTTTTTTGATTGAACATTTTGTGAACAATCATAATTTGGAATATTTGTTGGGACAATAACAATATTATCATTAAATGTTTTAGGTAATATAACGTTACTACTAATAGTAATATCATTGACACTATTATTACTATTACTAGAAGTAATCATAGTAGTATCGTTATTAGTAGTATTTATAGTGTTGATAGGAGCAGTAGTCGTTATTGTTGTTGTTGTTGTTATCGTTGTATTATTAATACCCCATATAAGTGAACGACGACGTACACGTGGATCTAATGGTTCTGAGGTAACTGATGCCAGTGAATAAAAATTCGGATATAGAGCATCCATTATTCCCTTATTTATTTATTTTAGAAGAGAATGGAGTAATATAATTCCAAATGGAAGAAAAAGCCATTAATTTCGGTAACATTCTTGATACCATCTAATCATGTGTAAAGTAATCATATAAGTAGTATTATTCCATAGAGTAAAATAAACTTTCAACTATGTGTTCCATCCATTGAAACTATACAAGATCATTTGAATGTTGAATATGATATTTTTTTAAAGAAGAATTTACTGTAGAATAGTCTGTAAGTATATGTACATATGTACATTAATTTGTTAATACACAATTATATACACTATTCGATACTGACGAATATCAGTGTGTGTGTGTATGTGTATGTACATGTACCTATTCAGGCATCATAATGATGATGATGATGATGATCAGAAATAGAATCCTAGTTGCTGACTATTCAACTGTTAAACATTATAAAACTTCAAAGAATATATAGATACACATAAAATGCACATATGTATCCGACCTAGAGACATATAAGCACATTTGGAAATTTTCGATGCTATCCTACTAATTTAAAACCATCCCTTCGGATATGTATGTACATGTCTACGATGTTCATTTTTACAATGATAGACATAATCATATATATATATAGACAATACTAATAACACATAGCCATAGGAACAAAAGAATCTTTACTATGTTTTTCAAGAAACGATTTAAGAAAACTGGGATCATGCACAATTGTATTACACTTTATAAACGTGCGCGCATACACACACACACCCATGCACCCCCATTCTTCTTATTGATCGGTTCTTGAGGAATGTGAAGTGTATTTATAGTTTAAAAGTTAAAACGGATTGGAAATATCTATTCGACAATTTAATTTTCAAACAACCAAACAAACAAGTGTCTATAAAGCAGCAATGTATGTGTGCGTATGTGTATATACGGACACATTCACTACAGTTACTACAATTTACCGGTAGTGAATCGGTTTTGTTTTTCGATATAAAAATACACACACACATATGCCTACTTATGTAATACTGTATCGATCGAATTAATAGGTTATTTTAATTTTTTGTTGCTATCGCAGCATTTAGACCCTTAGGAAACATATTCTCATGACTGTTCATTATGATGAGTATAAAAAAAGATCTATGTATTCAGTGCGTATAGAATTATGCAATTGTGTACTATTATTTGCTTAAAGAAAAACGTTTTATTGACTTGTAATACTCCGGTAATCACATATTATGAAATCTAACATTTATATTATGTTCATAATTAGAGAGGGGTTTTGTAGAAATTATAGTAATTTAATAGTTGAATTCATGAGACAAGTGAAACTAGACCACCATGGAAAATCTGGAAGCACTGGACGGCTGATTCTTCCTAGTATGGGACACCTCAACAGTGCTCACCCATCCTCCCAGCGAGATTCAAACACGGGACCTATCAGTCTCGCGCGTGAGAGCTTAACTACTAAATCACTGAGACGGGATCGTGGACGTGCACTACTGAGGAGTTTCATACTAGGATGAAACGGCCATCCAGTGCTTCCAGGTTCTCCATGGTGATCTAGCTTCAATTGACTCATGATCTCAATTATTAAAATTATTACAATCTCCACAAAACCCCTTCAGATACTAATCAACAAATGCTTATTAGTGACTGGCTTCAAGATGTATTTCCTGGAGTTCTAGTAGAAAGCAGTGATCAGTGGAGTTCAACCGGGTCTGTTGTGAGATAGTAACTCACTGATGAAAATGGTGGATTTGTCGCTAAATTTCATGGATTAATTGAAGTTAGACATAAACACCACTGGACGCCAGCCAGCTGAGTGGTCTAGTGGTTAAGCCCTCGCGCGTCAGACCAGTAGGTCCTGGGCTCGAATCCCGCGAGGCAGGGTCATGGATGCCTACTGTTGAGGCTTCTCACAATAGGACGAAACATCCGTTCAGTGCATATACATGTATTCACTGACATAAAGAAAACTAATGAATACACTTATTGAAAACTGTTCCCCTTTCTCTCTCTCTCGCTTTAATCAGAGGTGTATATGGATGCAAAGGGAACACTCAAGCAGTGTATGTAAATATTTGTGTATGTGTGTTAGGGGCGGAGTTTTAAATGGGGAATTATTAAATATTCATTCTTTCCATATGAGATATGTACGCTTATTATTATTATTATTATTAATGTTGATGAAGAGATTAAGGTTATGTTGGGATGCCTTGAAAACCTCTCGAATGTATTTCTTGTTTTCTGCATTAATATCTATTTACTCTTTGTATAGATATGCCAAAAATATCATGAAAATGTCAATATATGTAATATGGGAAAACATAAATGTTAAGAAAATCATTATAAGGAATAAAACCTTTTTAAAGTTTATTTATTCAAGTATGTTACTAACATGTTACTACTTGCTGTGAATAACATTAAGGATAATTAATTGATCAGTGGGTGGTGATCAATGTCATGTATGTCAGGTCTTTCTTAGTGCAGATTGAATCCTATCGATCAAGTTGCCATGTGGCCACCAGTCTAAATGACTCGACATTGGATGCACTATGTTGAGATAACATGGTGGTTGGAGGTACATCTTGTTGACGGGTGCCATGTAGAACGAAATCTACGTCCAGGGTTTCCTGTTAACTATCTTCAACCACCATCTTATAACATTAAGCAAATATTACTTAAAATAAAATGAAAATTCATTGGAATGTTATAATTTCACTAACGCACTTATAAATGTAAATTATCATTATTGATGAAGTTTAATAGTTGAACGTATATTTGTCAGAAGGCCGCGTTAAGACCTACATTTCATCCAGCTTGATATTTAATACGAATAAAGTCTACACTTACATTCATGAAAGAACTGATACGAACCACCCTGTGAGATTTGAACTAACCATATTCATAAATGTTAATAATCAGTTATTCATACTGTAATTGACTTTTAATTTAGGGATGAGATTTAAACATATTGGGTAGTAACCAATTGAATTTTGTACGTAATGATTGATTAACTGATACTATCTAGAATGGAACTTAGGCCATCTATTCAACTGGCCTCTTATTAGTTGCCTTCAACTATCTAACACTGTACATTTGATCATGTTGTCATATATTATCATCTAATTGATAAAATTTATAGTTTACACCATTAGAGATAAGACATACTTCAAATACTTTTAGATGGTGGAGATTTGTAACTGAGGTCAGTCAGTCAGCTACGACGTAGAACCAGGCACATATGTACATCGGTCCAAGTTGCCATACCTCATTAGCACAACAAGATGAAGACCAAATTTATAGAAGTAGTTAACTCATTGGTGGTAATATATAGAAGAAACATTGCATATAAGGATATGGTACAGGAAGAAAGAATTAATTCGCAGAAAGAGAGATATGAAGTTATTTTAATAAAGTTTTGTTCTCTGATTTGGATGGTTTGGTCGTAGACGTCATCAGCGCAAACATCAGGTGAGAGTTTGTGCTGATGACGTCCACGACCAAACCATCCAAATCAGAGAACAAAACTTTATTAAAATCACTTCAAATATTGATCATTATAACTGTTATCATTAGTAATAATTGACTTCGCTCCTATGAAACTATTAGTAAGAATAAGATATTTTGATTCATTTCACATGGAATTGAACACAATAATATTAGAGAAACTTCAAAACTATTAAAATGATCTATGATAGCTTCATGAATGCCATAGAATGTTAAACTCCTTGGATACATTCTATCAAACTATAAATATCAATAATATTTACATTGTAATTGGTTCAGTTCATAAATCTACATGAAATAACGGTGAGATTATAATTTATGGACGACCTTTGAGTGACGCTAGACTGACCTTGAGAGGGTTCATCTAATAACCAGGATCAAATGAGGGTTGTAAACCTGTGTGAAGAATTAGAACTATGATTTACAGAATGATGGTTCAGATTAGTAATTAGATTAAGGATTTTCATCACGAACGGACATCAACTATATTGTCAAAACCCTATTCCACTGATTGAAATCATCAGTCAATTGAAGATAGACCACCATGGAAAACCTGTAAGAACTGGACGGCCGTTTCGTCCTAGAATCGGACTCTTCAGCAGTGCGCATCCACGATCCCGCCACCCCAAGAGATTCGAACACAGGACCTGCTAGTTTCGCGCGCGAGCACTTAACCATTAGAACACTGAGCCGGCATCCAACGGTGTTAATGTCTAACTTCAACCAATCCACGAAGTTGCGCCACCGTACACCATTGTCTTCAGTGAGTTGATATCTCACAACAGACCTGCTTGAACTCCACTGGTATCGGCTTCTCACTAGGACTCCAGGATTATTTCTTGAAGTCAGTCACTAGTGAACAGTTGATTATTACCAATGGTCTAATGGTTAAGCGGTCGCACGTGACAGTGATAGGTCCTGGTTTCAAATCTCACGAGCGGCGGGATCGTGGATGCGCACTGTTGAGGGGTCCCATTCTAAGACGAAACGGCCGTCCAGTGCTTCCATGTTTTCCATGGTGGTCTAGCTTTAATTGTCTCATGAATTCAACCATTAAATTACTATAATATCTACAAAACCCCTTTCTTAATTTCAATAAAATTGTTTTGTTGCAATTACGACGTCTTTGAATAACACGTTTATTTAATGAAATCCTAATTTCTCACTTTAGTCTCTCATCAACCGAGTGGACATACAATTCTAGTCATAATGTAGCGAACGAGAACACAAGTTGGTACAATCGAACGTATGTGAACACGAAATTACGAAATCTCTTAGTAAAATCAGAGAACCATACAGTGAAGACTTCATTTGCAAAATATCTATCAATCGTCTGAGATTTCATTGTTCCTGCATTACCATACCAGTTGCTTTTTGTTCATGTTCTTTTCTTCTCGATCTTCTTGACCTTCTGCTGCCAGACATTCTATTCTTGACTAGCGTTATATACTACTTATGTTGATATAAGTAGTACACATCACAATTGTATCTATCATGTATTAGTTATCAGGTTTGTCTAGTTTACGTAAATCTTGTCTCATATTCGTAAAGGAAACAAAATCTCTTAATCATTCCTAATTTAGAATAATCTCAAATTAGGACATTAGATTAATGTTGAAATGGTGATTGTTTCATCTGTCGATAGTCATACTGAAATCGTTGGTCGCATTTATTATTAGAAAGAAAGAAAGAAAGAAGGAAGGAAAGAGAGAGCGAAGGAAAGAAGGAAAGCAGGAAATAAAGAAGGAAGGAGAGAATGAAAGAAGAAATTTGACAGATTCATAAAAAGAAAGAAAGAAAATTTACCATGAACTTACATTCGTTGTTAATTGTGTTGTTAATTCACTAACTTTTTTCTCAGCTTGTTCAAGTTTACGTTTAAGTTTTTGTATCTAATAACAAACAAACAAACAAAAATATTGACAAGAATTCCTTGGAAAATGTTATAGTGAAAGAAAAAGAAAGGTGACTTGAATTAGTAACGAAGGACCAAGTGATATGTCTTACTATTGATAGACGTAAAATCTAAGTGAAATCTAAACAGAATAAACTTTACAATGTGTGATCTCTTAAATTCAATGTAATCAAACATATCAGTCTTCAATTGCTGACTAATCATGGCTTACTTCCATCTGGTACACTAGTTTTCTATTCAACTTTGATGTAAGAAAAACCGTTGGATGCGGAGTCAGTGGTTTAGAGGTTAAGCGTTCGAGCTCCAAACTAAAAGTGCTTGATTTTGATTCCCTTTGATGAAGGGTCATGGGTGTGCACAAAGTGATATATCTTACTACCGATACGCGTAAAATGTCTTCCGAGTTAGTTCCTATAACTCTAGACTACTTCTACATGTCAACTGGAACAATAAAGAGAAGGCACGAATTACGTGTAAAAGCTTTAATTTATGGTTAGTTCATGTACAGAAAAAGCAAGGTTATGTATGGATTCCTCCATGACCTAGCGCTTCTGCAAATTTCCGGGACCATATTAACTATATCAGTGGTATAGATAATCATCCAGTCAGAATTGTGATATGTGATTCTATTCAATGCTGATTGGATAAAACATTTCCTGGAGCTTCTAGGCTTTTAGAGAATTTAATAAGAGACATTTTTGGACTTCTCCAACACTTTGAACCACGAAGCCATTGAAAACCTGTTTCTTTTTAGTATGAGACTTTTCAGCAGTGTGCACGCACAACCCCACCACTAAGGATCAAATCAATGACACTTGAGTTTCATTATGAGCGTTTGACTTCCAGATTATTGGCTAGATACCTAATAGTTGATATTATCTAAAGTCACTCAGTCTTTGATATTGCTCAACCATCGTCCAATGTCATTATTAAGTAAAGTGTGAACTGTACTGGTCACAACTTCTCACAAAAACTTCAAGAAATACCTCTCGCAATCATTCACTATTGACTACAAGGACATTATAACTGTGGAATGCTGATAGTCCAACTAAGATCAATGCATGCTGTAAACCATAAAACCCAACACTTTCCATGAAATCCCTTTAAGACTAAGTCATTTAAACACTAGTTATTTTGTTGGATTAGTTTGCATGGCCTACTTCTATCTGGTACACTAGTTCTCTATTCAAGCTTGATGTAAGAAAAACCACTGGATGCGGATTTAGTGTTTTAGAGGTTAACTGTTCGAGCTCCAAACTCAAACTGTTTGGTTTTGATTTCATTTGGTGAGGGATCGTGAATGTACACTGCTAAGGAGTCCAACATCAGGACGAAATGGACATCCACTGGCTTAGCTTAGATCGGTTCATGATTTTAATAAAATTTAACAATCTCTGCAACCTAATACTGATAATGAGCAAATCAAAGTTGTTATTGCAATAAAAGACACAAATATAATTATATTAATCAAGAAACATAACATAAAACTGAACTCACTTCTTCAGCTTGTTTTTCCTCTACCTAGAATAGATATTTGAAAAAGGGATACAATCAGGTTAATATATACATATCAAAAAATATATATATTCACTATGACGGTGAATTGAAATCCACTTCAATATAACTTACAAATGTATACATAAAACACTGTTTTGATATACGATCGTCAAAATGAACTGAATTCTATGGGTCCGATTGTTAAGGTAGAGGTGTGGTGTGTGCTACTTATTTTGACATAAGTAGTATATGATGTTAGTCGTGAACATAAGGTCTGGCAGCAGATAGACAAGAGGATCGAACAGTAAAGAATGAAAACAGGATACAATTTGTATGAAGATGCAAGAACAATGAAGTCTGAGTCATTTTGAGAGGATTGGTGGACATTTTGTAAATTAAGCATTTACTAAACGGTTCTCAGATTTTATCGAGATGCTCTGTAATTTAGTGCTCAAATACATTCGATTACCTCACCCGTGTTCTTGTTCACTACAGAGGATCTGGTCGAACTCATTCGATTTGAAGTTCATCTTTATTAAGAACTCGTCATTCTATAGACATATACAAAGATATACCACTGTAGATGATACTGTACTCATGACGTTCAAGTGTTTCAGAGAAAGTCTAATACTGTAATGAACGAGAACACAAGTGGGGAATATAGATTTACAGAGTATTTTAGTAAAAGCTGATAACCATACATTAAATACTTCATCTCAGACTTGACTTTTCCTTCTGCAAATGTCAATCAATTGTCCCAGACTTCATGGTTATTGAGATTTCACACTAATCATTCTTTGATCTTGTTCTCTTTTCTTTCATCTTCTTAACTTTCCACCTCCAAATATTTCACTTTAGACTGATTTTACATACTACTTATGTTTGTCGAGATCAGTAGCACACACTTATATATTTAATCAATTCATAGTTATTTGACAAAATAATCATTTTTAGTAAAGTTGAACTATATCACATATCAGAACTTTTTAATGGAATTTCGGATGATTCTTTCTGGAACCTGATCAATCTATAAATGACTCTAATAGTGGATAAAGCAGCTAACTAGATGACTTAAAAGCTGAAGAGTTAGATAAAGTCTATGAACAAGTTTTGATAGTAGTCAGTTGATTTTAATCTATCATTGAAAATCAGTCTCAAATGAATCATTTCTTCAATACGATATCAATAGTCAAGTAATATTGAATAGATATTCAGTAGTATAATTCATTTCCAGCAATTTATGACTGACTTCAAGAGATACTCCTGGAGTTCTAGTGAGAAGCCGTTACTAGTGGAGTTCAACCAGATCTGTTGTGAGATATCAGCTCACTGAAGATAATGGTGTACGGTGGCGCAATTTCATGGATTGATTGAAGTTAGACATTAACACCGTTGGATACCGGCCGGTTCAGTGATGTAATGGTTAAGCGCTCGCGTTCGAGACCGATGGGTCTTGGGTTCGAATCTCGCGGGGTTTGCAGTCGTGGATGCGCACTGCTGAGGAGTCCCATTCTAGGACGAAACGGCCGTCCAGTGCTTCCAGGTTTTCCATGGTGGTCTAGCTTCAATTGACTCATGATTTCAATCAATGAAATTTATGAAACGTTTAGAAACATCATGGAAGTAGCTTAACATTTACTGGACTGGATTTGTAAGTGTATATACCTTTTCTCAATTGATAACACATTAGAGTTTTAAATGGAAGTTAACTCATCCAAGTCTAAGTGTGTAACATCAGTACTGTGATATAGGTGTGTCAAGCTAACAATTCTTAAATGAGACGAGATAAATGTGCTAAATTCCCATGCTAGTCAATTTACAAGTTTAATTAAATTAATGGGATTAGATTTAAAAAAAAAACTCAGTAGACAATTACGCAATCGCCTTAGTGCGATTTTTCTTTAAAAAGCGTTAAACTACTGAAATATATACAAGTAGTAGAGTGAGATCTGAAAATTAATGTAAATTCACTTGGTATTCTTTGCTTGAATCATCCCATTGTGGTTTAAGATTGTAATTGATCAGCCTGTTATTGACATATGTGAATACTATGCATATTGCATCGATATTAATTCACAAGCTTAATAATCAAATATGGATGAGTCCCGAATAGGACGAAACACATGTCCTGGATTCCAATGCTAACCATTATCCATTTTTGCTTACTAATATATAGTTTTTTTATTTTTACGAAAATTTCTATGCTGAAATGTTCATTGCAAAAACAAGCAAATAAATATATTTATGTGTAGGATGTGATCAGTCTTGTCATATAATATATGTCAGTCACTTGTATTCAGGACGGCATTCATGCCCATTTGAAAAGTTCTAGTCTATCTGAACTCCGAGGATAATGGGTTATTTTGTGAAAATAAAGAGACTTGGTTCATGTCTGATTGTAAATATCATCAGTGAGATGGAGTTTTGAACAGCTGATCAGTCTGAAATGGAACGAAATACGCATCCTAAACTCCACTGCTGTTCATGATCCATTATCTGTATATAGCTAGTGACAGATTATTTGTATCAAAGTACTTCTTTCAGAATGCACGTATTTCAACTAAAGTTGACCCATATTCAACCCTGTATATTATCTGATCAATAGTGTAGATCACGTTATGATTACCAATGTCAACTGGACGGTTTAACAGTGAGTTATAGTTTTTTTTTTCACTTGAGTTTAATTTCAGTTTGTTAGTTATCATCAATTTTTCTGTAGACTATCAATTTAAGGGATTTATGGTACAGATGAGTGTAGAGGTCGTTGAGTTTTGTCACTTTGCATCGTTTAATAACTTAAATCAGATAGTTAATGAAAGTTATAAGATATTAGACAACTGTTTGATCATATGAAAGGCTGTTTTTCAGCAGTGAACATCGACGACCGTACTGCAGGTCGAACCTAGAACTTCCAGGTCCCTAAGGTGAATGCTTGGTAATCCATAGAAAAGCACGGAGTACTGGATAACTGTTTCTTTTGGGATGAGATTCATTAGCAGTGTGTACGAACTTCTCAGGAATGTAAAACTAAGACACATACACTGTGAAACCTGAAAATTTAAAGTGTCATCTCTAATCTTAGTTTTGAGTGCACACGTATGAGTAGTATCATAGTAGCGCCGAACAAATATCTAAATATTCCTTGACTTTTAACAGTTCATTATCAAGATTTTCCTCAAGTTTATTAAACTCCACAACCAGTTAGTCAGTTATCTTTTAAGTTCTGTTCAGAAAAGAAGCATAAAGGAAAGAAATAACCTTCTTACCGTAGATACACAAGATCCATTTGAAGTAAGCGATAGCCTTGAACCATTCACTGGTAAAAATCAAACAATAATGTAATACTGAATAAAGTTTATAGATAAATGGGAAGTTAGTTTACAAAATAAAAACTCAAAAAAGTACTGACAATGACAAGTGTGTGATACCAAATGCCCCGGTACGGTTTAGGGTGTGAGGAGTCAGCCACTGTCAGGGAAGTCCTACTCATTGTCTTCTCACGATGGGGGTATTATTCACGAAATTAAGAAGACGAAAAGCGAATGTCCGGCACTTTAAGTGGTTTGGTGGATATGGAGGATCCACCCAAAGGGTTGAGAAACCTTGATTCCAATCGAGTGGTGCACATGGACTCAAGGATCCTGAAGGAACAAATGGTGTATAAACCTATTATTGGTTACCGGCTACCATGGAACTCAATTTCCTGACGCTGCTCCACTGTCTCGTGGATCAGACCTATAGGTTGAAGTCTCCAGGTGTGCCCCCCCCAAGAAAATCACCTGCTTCGGTCTGTGCACCCGGGCAGTATCACAGCTCACACACAAATCAAGTGACTTTTGTGGCGCACATGTATTCGGGGCCCCTTTCTACCAGTATTTATTTCTGTTTATCAGGAAAACAGGAACATTTTAGTGAGTTGACAACACACACACACACAAACAAACACCTCACTTGATGATTATTTATTTCGATAGAAGATTACATCATTCAATTTCTGTTACACAAATTTTACCTGAGATAAACAAACAGATTAGATGAATAAAAGTTTTATAGTTTAATCACTCGTTAATAATATTGAAATCTGGATATCTGACTTAATTATTATTTGATATTTCAATATTACTTATATACATCATCAACAGTTTGTACATTTCATAGATCGATTTCAGTTGAGGTGTTATCGGAAACCAGGGGACAATAGAAAGTTGTTACGTCCTAGTGTGAAACTTATCGGGAATCCTTATCAAAAACCCTGACAGAAATAGAACTTGACATCTTCATATCTTACAATGAATGAAGAATTATCAAAAAACACTGTGTTGATTGATATAACTACTATAACACATATATGGTGATGTACCGCTTCAAATACTTAGAGATTATTATTGTCATTATGCTATGAGGAACTTTGATATGTGGGCGTGAATGATAATGGTTGTCTGCTTAGTCAGACATGTAGGTAGTCTGACAGGTGTCAGATGAGTTATATATTTCCCTTATCCTTATTATTATTACGTCTCACTTATTATTGATTGTTCATTGTTGTTGGATTGTGTCGGGTTTTTAGTGTGGAAGTATATTCACGTTGTGGTCAGGCTAATCACATGTTCTTGATCTGAGCTGTGTTAAAGTCCTGTAGAATAGACCCTGGGAGGGAATTTAGTGTAGATAATCGTTGAACGTAAATTAACGTCCCATACGTGGAAACCCAACCGTTATATATTAAACAAAGTAAAACCGAGCGTTATAACAAATTTTTCATGATGTGTATTTGTATCTAGGTGAGACTTTGTCAATACTGCTTATCTATGACTTTATACACGACTAAAACAAAACCTTTGATAGGCTGAATAGGTTCAAACATGTCAAATCCTAGTGAGAAATTGAAAAGACCTCATACTATCTCAAGACTACATGAAGACAAGCAAAAGTGTAAACGTAGACAATCTAATATGATTTAGGAAGTTATTTATTTACCCAAAGTCATGACTTGTATCAGTCATGATACACATTTATAAATTCGAGGGATTTGTACACTGAACTTTTAATAAATCAGAAAGAAAATCAAAGTAATAGTAACTTTCAAGTCTAATTTATGGACTATTATCATATACATTCTTATTATATAATTTCTGAGTAACCATGTATATATTCACCAAACTGCATCACGAGACAAGAGCTAACTTAGAATCCTGAAAGTAAGCAGAAAAGAGGGTGGCCAGACAATACATTACGTCGAGAAATAGAGGCAGATATGAAGAAGGATGAATAACAATTGGAAAGACCTGGAAAGGATTGCCCAGGACAGGGTTGGATGGAGAATGCTGGTCAGCGGCCTATGCTCCTCCACGAGGAGTAACAGGTGTAAGTAAGTAAGTAAGTAAATAAGTATATATTCCATGTACCATAATCTTTCGGGTAACCCATAAACTAGCTTCATACGACTTATTATTTATAATTAATTGCCCGTCTTTTATTTACAGTCTCCTCTATTCACAGCTACTTTTCGTTTGTTCATGTATAATTATGATTTTGCATTTTATAGGGTGATTTGGTCTGTTATGGCTGTATATAAACCAAGTTCGTTTAAATAAAATTATAGTAGAAGCTGGTTACTGATTTTTGGTCTCAAGGTAGGGAATCAAGAGAAGCTTGAGAATAATGAACCAATGGGAACTCAGCTATGTCGGTTCAAGATCAGTATTGCTGATCTGACGTGTAATTGGTCAAATCGGGGACTGTGGGTTACAGTGGACACAGAACAGATGAGATTAAAACTGGGATTCTGATTAGGGCTTAAGGACTTGATATAAGTCAGCGGTCTTCAAGACAAAACAAATTTATTCTATCATTAAAGCTTCCTATGTAAATATCCCCTTTCCTACCACCATTACATAAATTGATAATTAACATTGATAACAAACATTTAGATTAAATCACCTCCTAATCCACTGATTATTTGTGAACCAGATTCTGGGCAACTAAAGCCAGATGTTGTACCAATTAGACTGGCTGGAGCAGCATATGGTAATTTAATTGGTGTTCCAGGTGGTGCACTTATAGTTCCTGGTAAATTTATCTCATTATCTTGATTAGTTCGATTACCACTGCTACTACTATTACTCATCATTCCTTTAATCATTAAACCAGTAGATGGCATAAATTGATTATATAAATAAGATGGTGATAATGGAACAATTCCATAAATTCTTTCAGCATCATCATGCTTTGCGATAGACGATGATAATGATCTACCGTCAATTTGTCGTCGTCTTGCTCTTGTCAGTAAACTTTGTTGTTGTGATATACCCGATGCGGAAACAAGTTTATCTGACTGATTTATACTAGAATCTAGATTACATAATCTTGGTGGAATAAAATAACGATTATGCAATCCATCTCCAACAGTTTCATTGTTATTCACTTTACGTAACCAATTATATGGTGAAGGTTGAATTGGATCACATCCCATGTAACCATAATTCATAGCTCTTATCGATGCTTGAATTCTATAGTCATTAGAAAGAAATTCTTCTGTATCTGAAGCTGAGTTGAATCGTGTTAATTCATTGGTTTTCTTATCGTTTTCTACAACAAGAAAATACAATTAAACAAAGTTGAGTCAGCTTACTACTGAATAACTAATTAAGTAGATCAAATGAAAAACTATAAAAAAAACCCATGAGATTACATCAGTTAACTAGGTGAGTCAAGTTATCAAATGTAAATCTTTGGATACCATTTAAATGATCTAAGTGTTAAGCGCTCTTCGAAAGGTCTGAAAGTCCCGGGTCTGATCCTTAGTGAGATCTGCAATGTTAACTGCCGAGTCCTATGCAAGAAAGGATTAAATAGTAGTTCAGTGCATCATTGTTTTCAATAGCTAAGATCAGTTTGTGATTTAGATAACAAAAGATTACTTCTTAATTAATATAAAATTATACCAAACTACCAATCATGAGCAGGATCTACGGCAAAGTTCTGTCTTTTCTGTCTTTTCATTAGTGAGTTTGTGAATAGACTGACAAAAATTTCACTGAGTCTTTTTTCCTAATCAGTGATTGGGTTTTTCTCACTTATGGTCGTATATTCTCGTTGAAGATATTCATTTATCAGATGGTGGATTAATTCATTTTCCGGTACCTTAGAAGGTTGTAATTAGTTTTATAAATGATACCTGCTGCAAACTTGGAATAATGCCATTAAGAACAAACTATATTCTTAGGTTATTAGTACTTGATTATAAGTGTCTTCAAATCCATTGCTTGTGTCTTTAAGGATCACTGAATAAGCAATACTTTGATTAGGAATAGAGTAATGTGTAAAGATGGAAAGTGTATTGATGAGGGCTTAAACCTTAACCAACTGAGGTAGTTGGGATATGTGTTACATATGACCAACCACCACCGACCCCTCAGGTAATGTCTTCTGATACAAGAGAAGGCTGGAATATGGGTAGAGGTAGCCAAACTGATGTACGTACGTACCAGTTTCTACGTTGTAATCTACTGACTGACTGACAGATAGATGTACATGATAGATCACCTGAAGGTCAAAAAATAATGTTTTTGAACTATCATGATCTGTGGATCATATCAATAAAGTTGCTGATCATTTCATAGGGTTTATACAACACAATACTATATACAGCTAAGTTCATCATTAATGCAATGATTTAATTGAGAAGCGAATTTCAATTGGATTATATTCCAGCATAGAATCTGCACCATAGACAATAAACTATGAAGATATGATTTCACTTTTTCACACTGTATCATCACAGTCAAACAATAGATGACATAAGAGAGTTTTTCTTGTCAACATTAATCGGCTAAATAAAAGTACTTTTACAGAATTCTTACATTGTCAATGACACTTTATACATTTCATGCGTGAAATCTAGAAGCGATTACCTTCATCGGGATTGGTTTGTTAGTGGTAGTATTGTAGTGAACAGAACACGAGTGGCGCAATCGAATGTATTTGAGCACTAAATTACAGAGCATCTCGATAAAATCTGAGAACCGTTTAGTAAATGCTTGATTTTCAAAATGTCCACCAGTCGTCTCAAAATGACTCAGACTTCATTGTTCTTGCATCTTCATACAAATTGTATCCTGTTTTCATTCTTTACTGTTCGATCCTCTTGTCTATCTGCTGCCAGACCTTATGTTCACGACTAACATCATATACTACTTGTGTCGATAGAAGTAGCATACATCACACTTGTCACCTCCTTTAAAGTAGTCGTTACTGCGGTGGTCCATGCTTGCCGTGCCACATTCTTCTTTTCTGGAGTCTGTGCTACGCCCTCCGTCAAAATGTCGAATCTGCAGTGCGCTGATCTCCGTAGCTCCGTCTACCTGCCGTGGCACCAACATCCACCCGGCACATCGGACGTTCAACGCCTGCACTCCAGCAGCCTGCTGAGCCGTCTACATCCGATTTCCGCCCAGCATCCTCACATCCCACCGCCTCTATCTCTCGACAGCACCCACTAGAGCCAATGCAACCCGTCAGAGCACTCCACTCGACGCCACCTCTCCGCACCAGACTGCCCCAACCGACACCCCAGCTACAGGCCTGCAACGGCATCCACAGAACAACACCCTTCCCCTCCTGGTTGACAGAGACACCAAATGTAGTGAACAAGAACACGAGTGGGAACAATCGGACGTATTCGACACGAAATTACAGAGCATCTCACTAAAATCTGAGAACCATAAAGTTAATCGTTTATTTGCGAAATCTCAATCCATCATATCAAACTTGACTGTTTCTGTTGTCTCAGATTTCATTGATCATGCGTTTTCATACCAATTGCATTCCGTTCCAGTTCTTTGTTCATTGACTTTTTACTGCAATACATTCTATGCCCGACCACCGTTATACACTACTTGTGTGAATATAAATAACCCACACCGCAGTATAATTTGATCAAAACTGTTTATTGTTTTCATCATAGAGATCAAGCATATACAAAACATTTTCCTGAATATGTTCTTGAAGTCGAAGAATAAATTGAACTTAGACACTCTATTTAAATAAATCTGCCATGTAGTTTATAATCTACCGTCAGAAAGGTCTATCTTAAAGAATCAAACTCTTGAAATTATTCAAAATGAATGATGTGACAAAATATTCCTCATAGATGTGTTCATTACTAAGATGTAGAAAGTTAAATAATCGAATAAACTAAGGGGTCATATATCTAAATAGTAAAACTCTTTAGAAACTTCTCATTTGATGTCTTTTAAAGTATCCTATCCAACAACTTTAAAAGCTTTTTTAGTAGCAAACGTTTCACTATTAATCAAGTTATGACTGTCAGTTTCAATTTCTTCACGCTGTCGAGGAGTCCCATACGAAGAAGAAACGTTTGTTCAGTGCTTCCAGGTTTTTCATGGTGATATAACTTTAATTGACTCATGAATTCAACTGCTAAATTACTATAATATCCACGAAACCACTCTCTCTAATTGTAATCATCAAATGTTCACTACTGACGGACTCGAAGGGGTATTTCCTGGAGTTTTAGTGAGAATCCATGACCAGTGAGGTTCAACCGGGTTAGTTGTGAGATAATAACTCACTGATGACAATAGCAGACGGTGGAGCAACTTCGTGGATTCATTGAAGTTAGATATTAACACCGTTGGATGCCGGCCAGCCCAGTTACTTACTAAATTACTTACGTCTGTTACTCCCTATCGAGTATAGGCCACCAACCACTATTCTACAGCCCACTCTCTACTGGGCCTTCTTCCTAGTTCTATCCAATTCTCATTCATTCTTCTCATGTCTGTCTCCATTTCTCGACCTAATGTGTTCTTTCGTCTTCCTCTTCTCCTTTGGCCTCGAGAATTTCATGTGAGGGCTTGTCTTGTGATGCAGTTCAGTGCTCTTCTCAATGTGTGTCCTATCCACTTCCAGTGCTTCTTCCTGATTTCTTCCTCAGTTGGTTTGTTCTAATTTGTTATCTCCCATAGTAGGTTGTTGCTAATAGTGTCAGGTCAATGAATCCGAAGTATTTTGCGTAGACAGCTGTTAATAAACACTTGTATTTTGTGGATGATGGCTTTTGTAGTTCTCCAAGTTTTTGCGCCATACAGTAAAACTGTGTTGACTTTTGTATTGAAAATTGTGACCTTGATGTTGGTTGACAATTGTTTTGATTTCCAGATGTTCTTCAGTTGTAGATATTTTGCTCTTACTTTGCCGATCCGCGCTTTCACATCTGCATCAGATCCACCGTGTTCATCAATGATGCTGCCCAGATATGTAAACGTTTTAACATCTTCCAAATCTTCTCCGTCAATTGTGATTCAATTGGTGCATTCTGTGTTGTGTCGAAAAACATTGGTTTTCCCTTTGTGTATGTTGACACCTATTGCTTCTGAGGCTGCTGCTACACTGGTCATCTCCTCTTGCATTTGTAGTTGTGTGTACAATAGAAGAGCCAGCTCAGTGGTCTAGTGATTAAGAGTTCGCGTGCAAGACTGATAGATCCTGAATTCCAATCTCGCGGAGCGGGATCTTGGATGCGCACTGTAGAGGAGTTGCATACTAAGACAAAATGGCCATACATTGCTTCCAGGTTTTATACGGTGGTCTAAATTCAATCCACTCATAAATTCAACTATTAAATTACATTAATTATGTTTACTTTAATCAAAAGAAAATAAGAGAATTATTTAATTTCAGATGGGTTTTGTAGATATTATAGTAATTTCAACGGTTAAGCTCATGAGTCGGTTGGAGCTAGATCACCATCGAAAACCTGGGAGCACTGGACGGCCGTTTCTTCCTACTGTGGGACTTCTCAGCAGTGCGCACCCACGACTTCGCCTCAAGAGATTCGGACCCGGGACCTACTGGTTTCGAGAGCGAGCACTTAACCACTAGATCACTGAACCGGCATCCAACGGTGTTAATGTCTAACTTCAACTAATCTACGAAATTGAGCCACTATATACACTTTTCATCAGTGAGTTCCTATCTCATAACCGACCTGGTTGAACTCCACTAGAACTCCAGAAAATACCTCTCGAAGTCAGTCACTAGTGAGCTTCCCAGTTTTCCATGGTGGTCTAGCTTCAACTGACTCATGATCTTAACCAATGAAATTATTGAATGAATAAAGATTATTAAATATTAATTTATAACTTACCAGTTCCTGAAATGGACATTAATCGTCTTTCATGTTGATTCAATAAATCTTCCACATCTGAACATACACCATTTTTTATATCCATATTAGTATATTCATTATTATTATTATTATTGTTACTAAGGGATTGTAAATGGAAATTGTTTATGATTGGTTGATTATTATGTAATTTATGACACCAATAAAATCTTGAATTCAAGGGGGAATAACTATTCGATTGTTTATGAATAGAATAATCAGAATGATTATTATTATTATTGTTTATAGAGTTAATGAATGGTGATGGTGATGATGGTGATACTGATGTTGATGTTGATGATGGTGATGGTGGTGTTGAGGATGATGGTGGTGTTGAAGATGATGGTAATAAACAATTGTCCATGTAAGAATTTTTTTCATTTAATTGAGTTGGAGGTTCTGTTTTGATGTTTTTCATGATTGTTTGTTTTTTTCTATCGATACTTGAACTGGAGAAAAAAAGGTTAATAATTACAAATTGTGAGAAAGAGAATGAATGCAATTTTTGATTGAGATTATGAATCGATTCATGTTATGTCACGATTAGAAATTTGGAAGTACTTGGAGATCGTTTGGTTCTAATATGAGAATCCTCGTAAGTGCGTATCCACGAACCTGTTCGCAGGGATTCTGACCCAGGACCTGCGCCACCGCAAATACGTTTGAGTTATGTTATACAAAGTCTCCAATCACGGGTTGTGATAATCATATGGAACCCAACCAAGTGGTGTATACTTGTTAACATAGCTCAGTTCAATTGTCGCTGACTTCATAAACTGATGTGATATTTTGGTTCTGTGGCCCTTAGCTCTCCTCCATTCTGCTTCTACACCAGACAATATCGCCCGTCAAGGTAGGTAATGGTTGAGCACATGTATTACAAGTCTTAACCATCTCAGTTGATGAAGAGTCACTACTAAATCAATAGATTTTCGATCCTTATCTAGTACTCTATTTCTAACCAAGGCATTGCCTACTTGGTGGTTATAAAATATACGACCAATCCCTACACTACATTTATTTAAAAGCCTGTCAAAATAGCTTGCCAATACACAAAGTTAGCATTCACAGTCACTCTGTGTTCAAATGGATTTGAAATAGGCGGATTAATTGCAATATTTGTATCATATTTGAAAAATAATTTAGTAGGTTGCCTAAGTTTTTCACTCGTTTTTACATATGACAATATATGTAATTAGAGTTGAGTGCATAACTGTCTAATTGATTACTCCGTCTTATTAAAATGTTTATTCAATGCACCAAACACCACACAAGTAGAGTTAGATTAAAGCCATATTATATCGCAAACTATGTGATGATGGAGGAGATTTGTAACTCAGTTGGATGATTTTGGTAGAGTTTTGTTCTCTGAGTGACACCATCAGCACAAACTTTATATAGAAGTCATTCAGAATAACGATAAAAGCTCCACAACCAAACCATCCAGCTCAGAGAACAAAACCTCTACCAATATCGCAAACTAATTAAAGCTGGAATTATGCTATTGGACACTGATTTATTGATTCTGTAGGTAAATGTTCACTGTGAAACCTTAAGGTCTTTGTTTCGACCTCTACCATGGTCATAGGTATACACTTCTGAAGAATAACATACTAGGATGAAACATCTGTTCAGTACTATTACAATTAAAACCAATCTCTGATGAATACAATCTACAAATTAAACCAACCTCCATAACATATATCATTTATCAAAAAGGGTTTGTGGAGATTTTTAGAAATTTTCACAGATTTCAATCATGAGTCAGTTGAAGCTAGACCACCATTGGAAACCTGGAAGCACTGGACGGCCGTTTCGTCCTAGTATGGGACTCCTCAGCAGTGCGCATACACGATCCCGCACCACGCGTGGCTCGAACCCAGGACCTGCTGGTTTCGCGCGCGAGCACTTAACCACTAAACCACTGAGCCGGCATCCAACGGTGTTGATGATTTCAATCTGTGAAAATTTCTAAAAATCTCCAAGAACCCCTTCTGATAATAATCATCTGCTCACTAGTGACTGACTTCAACAGATACTCCTGGAGTTCTAGTGGGAAGCCGTTACCAGTGGAGTACAACCAGGTCTGTTGTGAGATATCAGCTCACCGAAGACAACTTCGTGGATTGGTTGAAGTTAGACATTAACAGCGTTGGATGCCGGCTCAGTGGTCTAATGGTTAAGTGCCCGCGCGCGAAGCCAGTAGGTCCTGTGTTCGAATCTCGTGGGGTGGCGGGATCGTGGATGCGCACTGCTGAGGAGTCCCATACTAGGGCAAAAGGGCCGTCCAGTTCTTGCAGGTTTTCAATGGTGGTCTAGCTTTAACTGACTCATGATTTCAATCTGTGAAAATATATCATTTATGACAAACAAAATATAAGTTTAATTCATTAAAATAAGAATTCACCTTAAATTTGTCATTCCATCAGATAATTGTGCGGTTGATGAATTACTATTACCATTATTATTCATTGATGAACTGTCACTTAATCGATTCATCCTATTTAATTCTGGTAAATCAGGCATCCATAATGATTCTTGCGCTTCTCTCATACCTTCTTGTAATCGTTCATGCATACGACGTGCATAATTGCCTAGATTCTCTTCTTCGTCTCCACCGCCACCACCACCACCACCACCACTTCCTCCAACTCCTTTTCCCTGTTGTTGAGATTGTTGTTGTTCATGATGAACATCAATTTGATGAATAGATGATTTCATAGAATTAAAATTTAACATCTTTGATTGATATATCATAGAATAAGGATTATGTAAATTTCTTGGCAATGATCCAATTATATTAGTATGATGTAATGGATCATTCATATTTGATTGTTTTGTTTGTAATGGTAATGTGAAATTTATATTATGAATTGGTAAATTAATACATTCTATTCCACTATCTGATTGATAACCACAATAGATTCGATTCATTTGATAATGATGATTATTATTATTATTATCGGATGAATTACATTTCTTATTCATCATTAAATGTTCTTTCATGACATTCGATTGTAATGAATTACTTTTATATAGATCAACTTTCTCTGATACACATGGATTGGGTTGTAATTGCTGTTGTTGTTGAGGTTGCTGCTGTTGTTGAGGCTGTTGCTGTTGTTGTTGGTGATGTTGCTGTGTATGTTGTTGTTGTTGTTGTTGAAGTTGCTGTTGGTGGTGATAGTGTTGTTGTGGATCAAGATTATTTCGATGAATTTCATTGGATTTTGATGGGATTAATTGTAAATTACTTTCTGAATAATATTGATTTATTAATTGATTATTTTTTGATAGATTATCATCGGTTAAAGGATTAGATTGTTGTAATGGTTGTATAGTTATTGGATTTGTATTAGTTTGTTCAATGGATTGAGTAATCAATGTATTATTTCTATGTTGGTTCGTTTCATTATTCTGATTTGGTTTTATAATAGTTTTCATATCAGATGTTTGTATTTTATCATTATCATTATCATTATCATCATCATCATTAAGACGGTGTTGTTGACGATGATGATGATGACGACGATGTGGATTTACAGAATCATTATTTATAGTGTTATTATGATTAGTTGATGGATAACGTTGTTTTAAAGCAACATATAATTCACGAGCTTTACGACGTTGTTCTGTATTGTCTATGGATTTTTTACTTAAACTTCTATGATATGATGATGATGATTGTTGTTCTATATTGATTACTGGTAGAGTTGGTGATGCTAATCCTGATGATGTGGTCTCTGTTGTAATTATTTCAGTAGATTGGATAGGATTAAGTGTACCAGATTGAGAATGAAAATAATCTGGATGAGTAGTTTCTGATGAAGGTTGGATAGTTTCTTTCACTTGATTACATTTTAATAAAAGAAGAATATTAAATGACTAAAATATATGTATATTACCAAGTTACGGTATTTATGATAATGACAACTAGTAGTTAGGTGAGTTAGGGTGATGTAGCTCACAGTTAGTTATAGTCACGACTACAAGTCATAATAAATCAGTCAGTCAGTCAGTAACAACGTAGAACTTCGTACGTACGTACATCACTTCGAGTTGCCACACCACATTAGCACAGAGATGCAGTTGTCGATTCAAATCCCGTAGTGGTAGAGGTAATAAGAGTATAAGCAGTAATCGGGAAGATTAGGGTTGGAGATGTTATTTAAAGAGTATAATCCAGTGAAATAAATTTGGAAAGAGGAAAAAAGGGACATGAAGAATTCAGAAGATTAGAATTTGGGAGAATAAATAAATACTTATCGAATAAACCCGACGGATTTGAGAAAGTAGCATTTTGCACGACATTACTTTGTACCTTGCTGAAAGTAAATTAGCACCTATCAATATTTCGATACGATAAAGCCTAAGATTTACTGGTGTGGTAAGGCTAAAAAAGACAGAAAGAAACTTAAGCGTCCTAAAGAGTGGTCCTGATAAATCTGTTAGTTTTTCATTGAGATCCTGAACTGATTTAAGCTAGACAACTATTTAAAATTTGTAAGGACTAGTTGACCGTTCCATCCTATAGTATGATACTCCAAAGTAATGCACATCCATGACGCCGCATGAAGGAATGGAATCCATGATCTTCAGTCTCACACGCAAACACTTAATCTCTAGACCACCGCTGGATGCTATCTAAATGATCTACAGGTTGAGCATTCGCACAACAGACTGGGAGTCCTGGGTTCGATTCCCGTGAGCAGGGTTGTGATTGTGCTCTACTGAGGAGTCTCATACTTGGCCGTCTAATATTTCTAGTCTCACAATGGTGGTCTAACATTGATGGGCTCATAATTTCAATGAAAATTCAACAATCCCAACAACCCTATAATTACTACTAATTTTTAATGTAAAAAGTAGTCAAAAACAAATCGAGATAAAATGTATTTAACATTTAAATAATGGTTTATGAATTTTTCAATGTAAGTTAAATTTTCCTTAGATTTGAAATAGTAGAACCGACCATGTATTTATTTATATAAAAGGCTACAAACCAATCACTCATTGTAATCCTATTTCCCAAATCCTAAACTTAATTCTTGTTTGATTTTGCTACAATTAAATGTTCACTTATGTTGTTAGTGACTAGCAGTGGAATTCAAGACACGCGTTTCGTCCTATCTGGGACTCGTCAGCTGAATGTAATCGCAGCCCAGAGTTAATGTTCACCTTGGGAATCGAACACAGTACCGTACAAGAGACTGATCAATTGCAGTCCTAAATAACAATGGGAAGATACAAATAAATTTATACCAAATAAATTATGTTGTTTGTTTTTCAGCTAGTTAAAAGCTGTACACAACTCTTAAGATCAAGTATAAATCTTCTCAAGATGGTCTGTGAATTTTCGTTTCCCACCTCCGTCACATTAATATTTGTATACTGAATAATGAATAGACATATCTCTATCTTATAAAGATCAGTTGTAACTCAAACAGTACACTAATGATGACATGTTTATTTACGATATTGAGTCAATCAAGCTTAGGATGTATGAGTGGGAGTGTTCATTACCTCCAGACTTCAGATAATTCTTTTTAATAACAATCATCATCTAATACAAAGTGATTTCCTAAGTGTTCCTATTAATTAATTATAGACCAATACTGTATAAGATAGAATGAAAGTGACTATCATCAAATGAGATTATTACAGGTAATCTAATTATCAAGTGTACTTTTATTCATACCTCTGGAAATTTACACTTTTATACATATTTGAAATTCACTTACCATTTTGTGTTTGAGACGATATATTAGACAAATATTTGTATGTCAGATTGGTTGATGTACTACTACTACTACTGCTAGTAGTAGTAGCTGCATTCATTTCTTGTCTCGTTTTTGTTAGCAATGATGTTTTATTAACTTGTTGTACTGAATGCATAGATTGATGATTAGATACATTTTGAGCTTGATTTGTCTCTTGAATTCTAACACGACGACTTATAACTGCATTATTCTTGTTTATAATCGTAGTTGTAGTAATACCATTGATAGTAGAAATAGTAGTAGTAGTAGTAGTGGTGGTGGTCGTCGTCGTTATGGCAACAGTAGGAGCAGCATTTGTTACACTTGAATAATTACAGTGTGTAATTGGCATAAAATTGGAATTCGGCGCTTGAGTAGCTGGACGATATGAAATCGGTGGAACAAATGGTTGAATTATCGGTGAGTATTGTTGTATGTTTACATTGGATGAATGATTGTGTATTTGTGCACATTGTGTGAGCGGTAGTGGTGGTGGTGGTGGTAGACCTATGGGTATTGACTGGTTAACTGTAGAATAATTAATATTACTATCATTTGAATAAGGAATACCAGTTTTGATAATGTGTGAATTTGATTGAAGCGGTATTGTTTGATGATGAGATTGATGAGTTTGTTGGGTAGATTGAAAGTGTTGTTGTTGTTGTTGATTAGTCCTTTGTTCAAATATACTGTTTCCTGTCATATAACGTCGTGTATCATGAAGATAACTAGACATTAATGGTTGTATTGTGCTTGTTGATATTGAATTGATTGAATGAGATCGCTCTGGTGTAATTGGAAGTTGAAACTAGACAATAACAATAACAAAATAGTAAAAAGTTATCAGCTTAATATATTACTTATATTCAACTGGTAGAAAATTAGTGTTTGGTAGTTATGTATGTTATATATAACCCTTTTCCATTTAGATCTATCTATTCGCCAGACACTATCAACAACAACTTACTGGGGGAGAGAACAAATCAGATCTCAATGGAGGAAGAAATCAGGAAGAAGCACTGGAAGTGGATAGTACACATATTGAGGAGAGAACCGAACTGCGTCATAAGGCAAGCCCTTACATGGCATCCTCAAGGCGAAGAGAAAAGAGGAAGATCAAAGAACACATTAGGTCGAGAAATGGAGATAGACATGAGGAGAATGAACAAGAATTGGATGGAACTAGAAAAGAAAGCCCAGTATAGAGTGGATTGTAGAATGCTGGTCGGCGGCCTATGCTCCATTAGGAGTAACAGGTTTAAGTAAGTAATATATATATATTCTTTTTATTTTGAGCTTCCATTTGACCTTTTGACTATTATTATACGATCTACTATTCTTAAGTTATTCCCAATATATTAATTACAGTCTCTCACACAATCATTCACACTATAGTACCTCAAAATATTAGTGAAATTTTTAGTCAACTTCTCAAAATAACATTAATAGACGATCACAGGCACTTTATATAAACCATCGAATCACTCTTCATCACTGATCTATTCAATTTTTTCGGGATAACATTGTAGTCTTTCTATCAAGAGAATACTGGTTTCGAACTATCATATCTGACACAACAACCAAAACATTGAAGACAACTCTTTACTTACAGTTTGATGATTATTTCAGAATATGCCATACATCACTATGACAACTCTTAGTTAAACCAATCTAATTATATCTATAATTTATGGATGACCTTTGAGCGGTGCTAAAGTGACCTTGAGAGGGTCCACCTCATAACCAGGATCAAATGAGGGTTATGAACCTGTATGAGGAATTATAATTATAATTTACAGTTGATGATTTAGGTTAGCGATAAGTCTTGCTAATTGAATGCTATATTCGATTCCTAAGCTATTCTTGTAATCCACAAGCTAGAACTACATAGCGACCTGAACACGAGAGAAAAGGCGCAAAATATGCAAGAAGCACTTTACTCCAAAGGTTCGTTTTAGTACAGAAAATATAGGGTTTTTATAGTATTTTAGATGTCCTTGGGTTTCCCGAAGATTCTGGAATGCTAGTAAATATAGTAGCAGTATAGTAATCAGCCAATCAGAAACTCTACATGTGACTTTTCACTTTCTTGATATTTCTGGCTAAACTTCAAGTGAACGCTGATTGAATGAAATGCTTCTTAATGTTTCCTGAGTTTTTCTTGTCTTTTGTGAGAAGGTTTCTAGATCACCCCAACAGTTAGGAATTAGATCTAGAGGGTTTTCATCACGAACTGACATAATCTATAGTGACAAAATTCTATTTATCCAAATGGATGAGTGAATTTCGCGCGTCAAAATCCCATAGACCTGTTATCTTATACTTGATTGGTTCGTTCATAAATTATAGTCTCTTCCATTCTATCATTAATTATTTGCATAATATCATGCATAACCACCATAATAATTTTTCACTTACTTCATTTGTTCCCGAGATAAATGTATTTGGATATTGGATAGAATGATGTTGATGTTGATGTTGATGATAATGTGAAGGATGATGATGATGAGGCAGCGGCGGTGGTAGAGAAGGTGAATAATTCATTGATGATGATATTTCTTGAGATGTAGTTATTTGTTTTAAAGTTTGGTATGTATTTTGTTGATGAATATTCATTGGTGTAGTAGTCGTCGTCGTCGCCGTCGTCGTAGTAGTAGTAGTATGAGGAGCAGGAGGAGGATGAGTTGGAGTAGTAGTATTAGTAGTAGTATGTATAATATTTCCAGATAATTTATTCATACATGTTATTGATTGATTATAGTTTATTGAATATGGATATTGTTTCTGTGCAGTATTAGTAGTAGTATTATGATAATGTTGACTTAATGTTATACGTGGTTGAATATTAGTTGTTTGATATGTATTATCTATACTATTCATATTCATATGACAAGTTGTATTATTCATTGAATGATTATCTAAAGCTGATTGATTTTGAATTGGATAATTCATATATGGAATACGTTCCATTTTTGTTGGGGATTCTTTAATCTTTGAAGAAGATGATGATGATGATGATGACATATGATGTGAATTCATATTAGATTGTTGATATAAATTTAATTGACGTGGCATTGGTATACCAGATGAAGTTGTTGTTGTTGATGATGGTAATATATTCTCTATTGTAGACGAGATAATCTCTGTTGTCTTGATTAGTTTTTGTTCCAAAGATAATTTTGGTGATAAATTAGTTATATAATGAGAATTTTGTAATTTATTTCTATCTATTTCACTTGGTGATAGTTTATTGATTATTGATTTTTTTGGTGATGGAGAATTTCTTTGTTTTTGATGATAGTTGTTATGATGCTGTTGTTTGCTGCTGCTGCTGATGATGATGTTGATTGGATTTTGTTTTGGATGGCTTAATATTCAAATCTAAGATAAGGAAGAAAGGAGGGAAAAGCAAATAATATGATGATTATGTCTTTTTCGTTATGAATAACATTTAGATTAACTCCGCCTGTAGCCCCTCTGAGACTACTGACGGTCCCAAGCCAGAATAAATGAGGAGGTTTGGACATGGGGTTAGTGATCCTATCGCGTAGAAAACCAACTCGCTAAAAGAAACGCTGACCAGAAAAAAGATCATTCAAACCATTTAAATTCTGCCCTGGGAGTTAGGAGGTTTTCATTAAGAAGAGTTATCACGTCTCATGGTGAAAGCCGTGTTGCTTTGGAAGTCATGAGGCTAATGCCCCTTCTGACAACCAGAGCAATCATTAAGTTATGTACACGGAATACTCGTACAATGTGGAAGACCGGGAGAATCTTCTAAATTGCTGTAAGTTTTAGATTAAACAATCAATGAGAACCAGGACAATTGTTTTATTCTAATATTGAATATTTAAGCCATACACACCTTACTAAAAATTTAAGTAAAGAGCTTGAGACCACTTGATGAAAGCTTGACAATCAGACCATTAAGTTAGCATCTAATGATCTGTGTACTGAATTACCTCTCGGATAAGAAGGAATTAAAGGATAAGTTTGAACAATTGTATTCAACTGAATTCAAAGACCCATTTAGTCGTACTTCATCTATGTCTGTGGAAGATCGTATAGCATTACCAAAATCGTACAAACTACTGGCTAGTCAGATTCATTGCTCTGCCGATGCTTCAGAACCTGCATATGGTGTTACGGAATATGCTCGTTCCGAAAATGTCTCTCGTCAAGTTCATTTTTTCTTTTTGTTAACTAAGTCCAAAGTTTTTAAGCCAAAAACTGAAGCACCATCTGCTAATAAACCTAAATCAACTCTAAGAAAGCCTAAGGAAAAGAAGGACACCAAAATGAAAGTCAAGACTACGAAAAAGCCTAAGGCCACTGCAACAAAGAAACCAGTAACTCAGACCCAGAAGAAGCAGGCAGCACATATTCGCCGTGGTATCGAGGATGGTGTTGAGAAAAGCGCCCTTGTACGAGTTGTGAATAAAACTAAGAGTGCACCTGGTAGCTTTACAGGAGCCAATGCCATTCTTAGACAGATCATGTGTAGTTGGAACCAGAATAAGATAGCAAATGCCCTTTTATATATAGGTTGTGAATAGCGCTTTAACCTTCCAAGAGCTAGTCAACGAGGCAGTGTATGAGGACGCATCATAAAGTCAATAAGAAGAATTCTGCAATCACTTTTGTTTCAGAAGATATTGACGGATGAGTCTTTAGGGACGTTTTTAATAGAAGTTGAAAGAATACTGAACAATCGACCACCCTTAAAGCTAGTTAGTGACTGTGATAATGTGTATGTACTTACGCCAAATAAGTTATTGTTAGTTTACAGAGATGTATCATTCGACGAAGCGCAGATGAGTAAGAAGTGCTTATATAACCTATTCTGGAACAGTTGGTTATGGGAGTACCTACCAACCCTTCAGGCGAGATTCAAGTGGTTGGACATGAGAAGGAACCTACAATCGTGAGACTTAGTGTTAGTAAACAATATTGGCTCACTGAGAAATCTATGGCCTAAAGCCATTGTCAAACAGGTAAGCTATGGCCCTGATGGACGAGTTCGTACAGCAAAGTTGAGAACTGCAAACGAAGAAGTCGTTCGGGACGTACGAAGCCTATGCCTACTGGAAGAAGCCGGCTATCTGACGGCGACGACGACCCAGGACAATGGACGTGGTGCGCGTTTCGGGGGGGAGTGTAAAGTGTGATCGATAAACGGACTCACCAATGATAAAGTGAAACGCCCACCACCACATTAACTTTCCTTGACCTTGTATGACTACGTCTTGTTTATTTACCAACCACAACTTTATGTTCATTATAAAACAATATTTGCCTTGTTGACTCACTTTCTCTAGCCCTTAGTTACTGTTTGAAACAGATAACGTTTATCAAGCCAAATAGCTTACTTGTTCTGTCTTCGGTTAAATCAAGACTCTGTGCTCAACAGTCTAGAGAAAAGCTTAGAGTTACGTATGTAGGAAATTGCTTTCTACAATTGGTTACATCACACAGAACAATAGACACATTCTGATGAAAAATATTCAAATGATAATATTGTTGTAAAACTGAATAATTATAAGATTTCCATAGTCCCCTGTATCGAAATATCACTCTGTGCTCATTAAGGAACTATTTTCTAAAGGTGATACCTAGAGTTCTGCTAGAAAGCCGTGACTACTGGAATTCAATCATGTCAGGAGTGAGACAAACATCATTCATTGCAATGGATAATAGTCATGTTATAAGGTGAATTGACTGAATTCAAAAATGAAAAGTCAATGGAAACTAAGATAGAGCTGAGTCTCCTGACTTCAAATCCTGTTGGAGTCGTATTTGTACATATTTGGAGAGTCCTATGGTAAGATAAAACATTTGCACAATCCATACTGGTTTTCAATGATTGTCTAAATGAATTCAGTTTGTGGAGAAAATCACAAGTCCAACAATCCATAAAACTCTTTATACTAAGGTGAACATCTGGTTAATCAATTACATTCGCGACGTGTAACTAATATTTGCCAAACTTGTAAAAGATGACACATGAAAGGTTCGAATATGTTCATTTTCTAGAATGTTGTCTGAAAGGGTATCATAAATTTTTGCAATTTGGGTGTGTGCGAGTGTGTAGAGAGGAATAGAATCCCTTCTTTTGAATATCAGTTGGTCAGTGGATAAACAATATAATATGAAGCACATGTATACATTCATGAGTTAATTGAAACTAAACCACTATGGAAAACCTGGAAGCACTGGACGGCCGTTTCGTCCTATTGTAGGACTCCTCAGCAGTGCACATCCACGACCTCGCCCCCTGCGAGATTCGAATCCAGGACCTACTGGTTTCGCGTGCGAACATTTAACCACTAGACCACAATAGGACGGAACGACCGTCCAGTGCTTCCAGGTTTTCCATGGTGGTCTAGCTTCAACTGAATCATGATCTTAACCGTTGAAATTATTATAATATCTACAAAACCCATCTGATAATGATTATGAGTTACATCTTGTGCTGTACGACATTCACCTTCAAACTACTTATAAGTAGCTTAGAAAAATAAACAGAAAATTAAAAAAACTACATTTCGTAGCCAAGAATAAATGTAACTCAATTTTTCATTTTTGTTGTCTAATCATAGATTTTTCGAGAAAAACACTATAAAATACATGAATGAGAAAAAAACGTCTGTCGATAATAACAAAGCAGTTGAATGTATATTGCTCTGAAGTGTATATGTGCATGTGTACGTGTGTCACAATAGTTCATACATTATTCTCACAGTTTAAATTGATTCCATATGGCGCCTATTCTCAGTTCAGTTAACTTGCAGTCCAATAGTGTTACATTAGAAACATTAGTTTCTTATGTGAATTTATTGATAATGAATTTAAAGATGGAAAAGCGTGAGAGGTTTTTTTGAATTTAACTTCGTTTATCATTTATCATTGGGTTTGTTTGTTTGTTTGTTTTTCTGATATCATGAAAAATATACCAGTGTTATTCAATACAACTTCGAGTTACAATGAGAGATTTATAAGTTTTTTTAGTTTTACAAGAGTTAATTGTGAGTTTTTTGTTGTTGCTTTTTTACTTGGAAACAAATTTAGAACATATGCCTATCACTCACAATGGAACAGCATTCTCTAATCCACTCTCTACTGGGCTTTCTTTTCTAGTTCCATCCAATACCTTGTTCATTCTTCTCATGTCTATCTTTATTTTCCGGCGTAATGTGTTTTTTAGTCTTCCTCTTTTCCTTTGGCCTCGAGAATTTCATGTGAGGGCTTGTCTTGGGAAGTAGTTCGGTGCTCTCCTCAATGTGTGCCCCATCCACTTCCACCACTTCTTCCTGATTTCTTCGTCCACTGGAATCTGATATGTTCTCTCCCATATTAGGTTGTTGCTGATAGTGTCAGGCGAACGGATCCGAAGTATTTTGCGTAGACAGCTGTTAATAAACACTTGTATCTTGTGGATGATGGCTTTTGTAGTTCTCCAGGTTCCCACCCCATACAGTAGAACTGTGTTGGCATTTGTATTGGAAATTGTGACCTTGATGTTGGTTGCCAATTTTTTTGAGTTCCAGATGTTCTTCAGTTGCAAATATGCTGCTCTTACTTTGCCGATCCACGCACTCACATCTGCATCAGATTCACCGTGTTCATCAATGATGCTGCCCAAATATGTAAATGTATTTACATCTCCCATAGCTTCTCTGTCAAATGGGATTTGATTGGTGCACGTTGTGTTGTATCGGAAACATATGACATAACTTAAGTTTAAAACACTGATATTTACAGCTGATGATTTAATGACCAATTTGGATAGAGGAAGCATCATTAGGTACTTACAACATGTTGGAGTGTTGAGGACAATACTTACTTATGAATGATTTGAAAGGTAGGTTTAGCGTATGTTATATGAATTCAATAGTCATTTTTATCCCCGTTAAAACTGTTCTGTCTATTGTATATTGATGCCTATATAAAACATTCTATTCTGAATATAATTTTTCTTCATGAATTATTGTTCATTGAAAAACCATAGAAAATGAAAGAACATTAAACTGTTATTCAGTACTTGTTACAAACTCTGTAATGGTACCTCCTCCATTAATTCGAATAGGGGTTGTAAATTAAGATATTGGCATTGCTCATTGATAATGATACTATTTTTTTGTTAACAAAGCATATAATAATTTACATTTTCAACGACAATTAATTTTAATCAGAGAGAGGGGGTTTTGTGGAGATTTTAGTAATTTAATTGTTGAATTCATGAGTTAATTGAAGCTAGACCACTATGAAAAACCTGGAAGCACTGAATGACCATTTCGTTCTAGTGTAGGACTCTTCAGCGGTGTACATCCACGATCCAGCTCCGCGAGATTTAAACCCAGGACCTATCGGTCTCGTGCGTGAACACTTAACCTCTGGACCACTGAGCCAGCATCTAACGGACAATGGTGGACAATGGAGAAATTTCATGGACTGGTTGAAGTTAAACATTAACAACATTGGATACCGGCCAGCTAAGTGGTCTAGAGGTTAAGTGTTTGCACGCGAGACCGATAGGTCCTCAGTTCGAAACTCGAGGGGTGGAATTGTGGATGTGCACTGCTGAGGAGTCCCATACTAAGACGAAACGGACATCCAGTGCTTTCAGGTTTTCTATAGTGTTCTAGTTTCAAATGACTCATGAACACATATATGTGCTTTATATTATATTGCTTATCCACTGAACAACTAATATTCAAAGGAAGGGATTCTATTCCTCTCTACACACTCGCACACACACACACACACGTATGTGCATATAAATACTCCCAATATCAAGAAGTTCTAATCCAAATATCAATGATCAATAAGAAAGTCTTAATGAAATTCTTGTTTCAAACGGTAAAGAATCGAAAGCTTTTTTTCTTTGTTTTTTCTCTCTACTTATAATTGTTTTTACCTATTTTTCCAAGCAAAAAAAAACAAAAAAAAAATAGCGGGATTTATAAACAAGCGAACAACAAAGAAAGAATTGGTCAATTCCTTGTTACGTTTACTTATACTAAATTAGATTAAATTAAAGCATAAATAACATAGGCTATTCTCTATTCATTCCCTCATTTAGGAATTCTATTTCATTGAAGAGAATATAAAAAGACGATAACGATTAAAATAGAAGAAAAAAAGGAAAGAGAAAAATCAATAAATGATTACGTAACTTTAATTGTATTATAGACAAGATGATTCGAATGATTTGGCAGAATCATTATAGGCTTAGATTCTATATATTTAGGTATTCAGTAATATGTAATATAGAAACTGGTATATGTATACATTATCAAGACAATTGATAGGATATTAGAAGTAGTATTTATGGGAATAGGACAAAAAGAATTCAAGAAGTAACAGTACTTTGGGATGAATAATGAATGAATCTCTGAGTTTGTGAACGATTCCAAGTTATGTCATATAATTACAATAATAATGCTGATAACAGCATGGGTCAATTCAATAATCAAAGAGTTGTTAGGAGGTGTAAAAAGAATTTGATCGTGACCAACTTGGTCTCGTGTGCTGTTACGGGTATGAGGGCTGATGTCACTTTCCGGATGCCCACACCGTGGAAGGGTATTTCTTGGGAAATATGAAAAGGAAGATGGATTAATGTTGGTCTTAACGACCTGGGAGCGTGACTGCTAAGCCCAAGAGACAACTTCTTGAGGCCATTTTGTGGGATGTTTTTAACGTGTTAGCTCTGTTCTTCAAAGAGCCTTACCACCGGAGACGTAAATCTGTGAGGTAAGGTGAGGTGTGACACTTTTAGGGTTGACCTTTTCTAACCCCTTCCTTCCTTGTGAGAAGGAAGCATTGCTGCAGATGCTGGTTGTCCGAGGGAAACACTTTACTGCTGTCACACCCCTCTACAGTCAGCAGTACGACTTTGCCCTCAGACCATGATTTGCTGCTTTCCGTCTTATCGTTCTCCAATCGACCTATCTGGCATGGTAGAATCTACAGGAACATATGTTCCAACCAATATAGCTCGGTTGGGTCATCACGATAGGTAAGCCCGGTCACCACGTCAAGGTAGCAGCTATAGTCGAGCAATAATCAAAGATATTATAAACAAAGATGGATAGTGGCTAGCAGTGGAATCCAGAACACATGTTTCGTCGTATTTGGGACTCGGCAGCTGGATGTACGTGCATTTCGGAGTTGATGTCTACTCTGGGACTCGAACCTGGTACCGTTCTCTTCAAATGCCATCACGTTTATCCACTTAGCTGCTGAGTCCTGACAGCCATCTACTTATGCAATAGGGTGAAATTTAAATTCACTGGGTGTTGTTTCTTTGTATCTTCCCATTGTTATTTAGGACTGAAATTGATCAGTCTCTTGTTGGCATATGTGCATCCTGTGCAAACTGCCTCGATATTGACTGAAGTCAATAGGAAGATACAAGTAGACAAAATCAAGTAAATCAAAGATATTATGTTCTGGGTCTCCCACTCATAGTCTCCTTTCTGTCTAAGCCCATACCAGCTACCACTTGATGTTTAGTTAGGCGGTGGTTTGTAGTGTCAGTTATTATGCCAAGCCCATATACCTTATTCAAGCTTTCGGACATCCCATTCTATTCATTTTACTTGAGCCATACATTGACCTTGTTATTTATTCGTTTATCAATCTAGACTGTTTTTATTTGGGCGTATATGTGTGTGCCCTTATTATTCTATTAATCACATGTCTGTAGCTTTATTTTCTCTGACTATAAATATTGAGTAACACTTGACTAAAATGGAATTGGCTTCCCAGCCATCTTCCATACGCGTCATTTTTGCTTTGCTATGCTTCATTCACTTCATGTACGAAATATACGTATTCTCAAGTCAATTCTCGTTATTCGACTTATTTAATTCCGTTATTGGATAACGCGATTTAAGTCGACGATGATATACGAGAATAGGTGATGCCAATCTTCCATACAATTATTCGTACAATCTAAATGGAGTCAAAGCTACGGGCCTCCAACTAAAGTGGTGAGCCCTCCAACGAATATCGTCGACCTGAATGAGGACAAAAACAAACTACAGGCTTCTAAAGGTTACTCTTACGTAATACATGTCCCGATTACCTAACTCAATGAAAACTCACTGTCTCATCAACTGATTTCACATGTTTATCTAGTACACTGAGTTTAACCTCAACATTACTGACTCGTTGACCACAACGTACAACAGTAATGATCTAGAGATACCTATGATCAAATACTACTAGTTTACAAATATTTATTTTTTTTAATTGTTGCTTTTCACAAAAATTCATTTCCACCTGTCTCATCTGTCCTTCAACTGATTTCTAACTTTTAATGCCCGATTTTCGATGAATTTTAAGCTTCAAATTTAACCAAAAAACTTCATTTTAAGACTGTACTTGGTACCATTATTAGATATGAATATGTGTCAAACTATTTAAAGTGATGAATACCACACATGATACATGGAACAAAGAACATTAATAAGTAATTTATGTCAATAATCTTCCAGACTTAACAGTCCTCTAAGCAATTTCTCCAAGAACTTTTGTTTGGTTTACAAAATGAATGTTTATATTCTGTAATGAACGAGAACTCAGGTGGGGACAACTAATTTATTTTGATACAAAATTACAGAGTTCTTCGGAAAAAATGTGAAAATCATACATTCAATACTTCATTTAAAAATCCTTCATCAACTGTCTCAAACTTCAGCGTTCCTTCATTTTCATAACAAATACCCTCTGTTCCCATTCTCTTATATTCGATCTTCCCAACCTTCAACTGCCAGACATGTCACTTTTGATTGGTGTTATATACTACATATGTCGACATAAGTAGCATACACCACAAACTGACAGGTTGATTAATACATATTTGAAATGATTATTCGATTTTTGGTCGATGCTTAGTGTCCTTTTACCAAATCAGTCAGTCAGTTAGCTTCAACATAGGACCAGGCACATATGTGCATCGGTCCAAGTTGCCATGCCTCATTAGCACGACAAGATGAACACCAAATTCATAGTAGTTAATTAAATGGTGATAATATACAAAAGAAAGATTACATATGAGAATATAATACAGGAAGAAAGGATTGGTTCGTAGAAAGAAAGATATGAAGCGATTTTAATCTCATAGTTTAAGGGAAGACAGAAAGTGTATACACCTACGTCATTGTGATCGATTCTGAGCCATGTCACCCAGAGTCTCCAACCATTGAGTACGATAGTCGTGCGGACCCAAACCAAGTAGTCTGGATTTGTTTCCTTCAGACAACCAGCATAACAGGGATGCTTTCTTCCCACAAGGAGAGGTGGGGTTAGAAAAGATCGACCCTAAAAATTCACACCTCGCTTTATCCTATGGATATCCATCTCTGGCGGTAAAGTTTCAACAAGTACGTACGTTCTCAGGTCATTAAGACCACCTCTAACCCAATTCCCTTTTCAGGTACCTCCAGAAGAACCCTTCCACGATGTGGGCAACCGGGAAGTGATAACTACCTTCATACCTCTAACAGCACTCAAGATCACTTTTACCAAATGAACTATTTTGATTGGGTAGCCCCCTTGATTTTATAAATAATTACACTTATGACATTCAGATGTGATTGATAGCATTTTTCTGACTTGAATTACATAAACAGACAATGTTTGGTTTACGAAATATGAAGTTTTGTTAGTTAATTAGTTCGAAGGAAACCCTTGCATAACCTGAGTTCCATGGTAGCTGGTACATGTTAGCTCTGTGGGATTTAAACCTGTATCATCCGCCTTTACATCCATAGACATTACTCGGCATTGGACATACGAACTTGAGTCA